AGGGAAGTGGCTGAGGCACACTGGCTGGGTCAGCTCCAAGACAGAAGCAATCCTAACCATGACCCTAACCCTAAATCCTAACCCTAATCCTAAATCCTAACCCTAACCCTAAACCCAAACTCTAGCCCTAACCTTAACCCTAACAGTAAATCCTAAACCTGATCCTGATTCTCACCCTAGTGGGACAGAAGCTCACAAGTTCGTGCACAACTGGTTCAAAGAGCGACTTCTCCCCCATGCCTGGCAACTCCACACCCTTACTTAGCTCTGCTCTGCCTTCCCCCTCATGCCACCACTGCCCAGATTTCAGCACCTTCCTCACCCACAACTGTTCTAAATGTTGTTTAATTCCACCTTCTTTGTAAAAGAATAAAATGGCTCCCAGGCCCCGGGCTTGCTCCGTCCTTAGCAGGGAATCTAGTTCTGCATGTTCCCAGGTGACCTAATCTGGGCCTGTTCCGATTCCAAATTCACAATGATCCTCCCTCGGGGCTGCTTGCCCCGGCTGGTTCCAGCCACCTCCCAACATCTCAGAGGGGTCGGGCGAGACCTTGGCCTTCAGCCCCTCCCAGCACAGCTCTTCTCCACCCCTCCCATGCTTTCTCCTAAAGAGGTGAATGACCTCATCACCACCCAGAAACCTGCTCCACCTGCCCCCCTGCCGTCAAATCACGGCCTTCAGCCCTTCCTCCTCTGTCTCTCACTCTGTCACTCCCTCTATCCTCTTCAGACCAGATGCTCCTGGACACCGAGGGCCTGGATGCTGCAGGAGCCTTCTCCAGGCTCATGGCCGCTGGCCCAGGATGGAAATGACCCCTCCTGGAATTTTGCCGTGCACAACCTGTACAACCATTCCCAGCGGTCTGGCCACCTGCACCCCACCCCCTCACCTGCCCTTACAGGCCAGCCCTTCCTCTCACTCTAGGCGCTGGGTTGCTGCCAGAATGGCCCTGCAGGGACATGGGTGAGCACCGGGCTGAGCCTGGGCCCTGTGTAGTAAACGAGAGACCAGCCAGGGAGCAGGAAGGTGCCAACCCCCAAAGAGAAGGAGCAATACACAATGGGGACCCAGCCTCCTGCTCGGGCACCTGAACCCCTGGCCCTATTCCAAATCTTCTCCTTGACTCTTTCTTCATTCACCATGAGGGCCTAAAAGAGGAGACATTTAGAAAGAGAATCTGGAGAGATGGTTTCTCCTCCTCAGGGGTGTATGCACATGTGTGGGAAAGTCCCCGATACCTTAAGCCTAGAGAGAGGGCTTTTCAGGGGATACTCGGGGAGCTTGCAATGGGCCCTACCGTGGTGGGACTCAGTGTCTAGGTGCCCTATCAGATCTGACAGAACAGGGCCGCGGGAGAGGGGCTCTGGGCGGGCTGGCCCGCACCAAGTCTGACATGGCACAGGGTGCTAGTCTTACCCACGAACCAGACCTGGGCCACACTGATCAACAAGCTGACCTGGGGCGTCTCAGGCCCTGAGCTGGGCATGAAGGGGTCTCCAAAGATCCCAGAGAGAACCCCAGGCAAGAACGGGAGCTTGAGAAGTGGCCAGGCCCAGGCAGTGAGGCTGGCTCAGGACAGCAGCCAGAGTAAGGTCTTTGCTCCCCTGCCCCCCTGCCCTGCCTCCTCTTCCCCAGTTCTGGAGGGCCGGACAGGGAGTTCACAATTAGTCACGGCTTTGACTCCTATACCAGATGGGTTACTCCAATTTTACAACTGGAATAACATTTGGCAATTTGAAATGATGATAAGGCCTCTTTATTATCCAAGCATGAGCAGGCTAGGTGTTCTCCTACTTGAGCTGTAGGAGACAAAAATGAAGTTGCTTTGTGATTCTACCCCTGGAGTCATGCCAGTTCAGCTCATTTGTACAGAGGCACATGGGCTCTCGAAGGTGGGGAGGGTAAGAGAGGGCCTGGGGGGACAGGAAGGGCAGGGCTGGGCCAGCTCATCCTTGCCTCTGGATTTGGAACTGAGCTGCCCTGACCAGGCACTCTTTGGCAAATGAATGAAGGCATTCACACCTTCCTCACCTGAACATGCTCTGACCCTAGGTCACCTGCACATCAGCCCTCCCTCCTGTGACCTTCTCTCCAACTCTCTTGTTTTTATTTCATTTTGTAATGTGTTTTTATTGCTGATAGTATTACAGATATCTCCCATTTCCCGCCCTCCCCCACTCCTGCCAGTCCCTACCCACCCCCCAGTTACCCTACTGCCCATATCCATGGACTATGCATATAAGTATACTAGAGGCCTGGTGCATGAATTCATGCATGGGTGGAGTCCAGCCGCCCCTTGGGATGGGGGCCGATTGGGGCCGGGCTGGCAGGGGGCAGGGGACGCAGGAGGTTGGCTGGCCAGCCGCACCCAATTGGGGTGGGGGTGGGGCCAATTGGGGCCCCAGTCAGGCCAGTTGGCCATCACAGTGCGCGTCATAGCGACTGGTCGTTCCGGTTGTTCCGTCATTCCGGTCGCTTGGCTTTTATATATAGATAAGTTCTTTGGTTTATCTCTTCTCGTCCCCCAACCCATCGAGGTATGTCAGTCTGTTCCATGACTCCCTGCTTTGGGTCTTATTTTGTTGGTCAATTCATTTTGTTCATTAGATTCCACAAATAAGTGAGATCATGTGATATTTGTCTTTCTCAGTTTGGCTTATTTCACTTAGTGTATTTTCCAGGTCCATCCACACTGTCCCAAAGGATAAGAGATTCCTCTTTTTTACAGTTGCACAGTATTCCATAGTGTAAATGGCCCACAGCTTTTTTACCCATTCATTTACTGATGGGCACTTGGGCTGTTTCCAAATATTAGCTATTGTAAATAACGCTTTGAAACAGGGGTGCATATATTCTTTCCGATTGGTGTTTCGGGGCTTTTAGGATATATTCCCAGAAGTGGGATCGCTGGGTCAAACGGAAGTTCTATTTTTAATTTTTTGAGGAAACTCCATACTGTTTTCCACAGTGGCTGTACCAATCTGTGTTCCCATCAGTAGTGAACTAGTGTTCCTTTTTCTCCACATCCTTGCCAGCACTTGTTGTTTATTTTTTCATAGTAGCCATTCTGACAAGTGTGAGGTGATAAGTCATTTTGGTTTTAATTTGCATTTCTCTGCTGATTAGTGATTTTGAGCATGTTTTCATGTGTCTCTTGGCCATTTGTATGCCCTCTTCAGAGAAATCTCTATTCAGGTCATCTGCCCATTTTTTAAATTGAATTGCCTTCTTTTTGTTGAGTTGTATGAGTACTTTTTGTATTTTGGATATTAACCCATATCAGATGTATTATTGGCAAATATATTCTCCCATTCAGTGAGTTTCCTTTTCATTTTGATGGTAGTTTCTTTTGTTGTGTAGCAGCTTTTTATTTTGATATAGTCCCATTTGTTTATTCTCTCCTTAGTTTCCTTTGCCCTAGATGTATCCTTAAATACATTGCTGTGTGAGATGTCTGAGATTTTACTACCTGTTTCCTTCTAAGATTTTTATGGTTTCATGCCTTACATTTAAGTTTTTTATTCACTTTGAGTTTATTCTTATGTACGGTGTAAGTTGGTGGGCTAGTTTCATGTACCTGTCCAATTTTCCCAACACCATTTATTGAAGTGAATGTTTCTGCCCCAGTGTATGCTCCTGCCTCCTTTGTCAAATATTAATTGAGCATAGTGGCCGGGCCCTTACAGATATTTAAAAAAATTTTTAGTACATCACAATTCCTCACCATCTAGCACAGTGAGGATGTGACCATGTAGTACACGTGCTTTTTACTTTCTCAGCACACTGACATTTGGAGGACAGCCATTTCCTAAATAAACAACACAGCACATCACGAGAGCATTTCATCTGCCCTAAACTGCATTCTAGTTCCTGACTTGGGGAGATGGCACTACAGGAATATTTAGAAAGCACTGTTTTAGGCTGTAAGACAGTGGTTCTCAACCTTCCTAATGCCGCGACCCTTTAATACAGTTCCTCATGTTGTGGTGACACCCAACCATAAAATTATTTTCGTTGCTACTTCATAACTGTAATTTTGCTACTGTTATGAATCGTAATGTAAGTATCTGATATGCAGGATGTATTTTCATTGCTACAAATTGAACATAATTAAAGCATAGTGATGAATCACAAAAACACAATAATTATATATGTTTTCCGATGGTCTTAGGCGACCCCTATGAAAGGGTCGTTCGACCCCCAAAGGGGTCGTGACCCACAGGTTGAGAACCGCTGCTGTAAGAAGTAGTCTAAATTGTCCCAGTGAATGTAAAGTAGCAGACCACTGTCATCAAACCTCACAGCCATCCTCGAGGGTGGAGGCCGGGGTTATGGAGCTGTAGGGAATTGGGGGTTTGAATGTCACCCAGAGCTTTTCCACCCAAGGGCCAATTCTGTTCTGCCTCTCTGGGGCTGTACTGGGGGCCGGAAGCAGTTCTTCCACTAACAGGCAGGCAGGTCTCTGCTGGCTCATCCTTCATTCTCTATGCCCAAGAATACCTTTGAAAGCCCAGTCTTCCCCCATTTCACATCATTCACTTCTGGTTGACGGGCAATGCACAATTCTTGCCATCACACTTACGGGTGCATTTCCATCGGTCTCAATAGTTTTGAACACCTCTGAAGGTTGCACAGACAGCAGGCCTCTCCTTGTCAAACACCCAGGAAAGCTGGGTCTGGATTATGGCTGTAGCTCTCCCTTGCAGGCCTGGGGGCCTTCCTTGAAGTCTCTCAAGTGTTGCACCTCACTTCACCCCCACCCAAGGCTGTGTGGCCCCAGCTCACCCTAATAGTGGATGATGGGACTGCGACTGAAAACAAACCCAAGTCCAGAACCAGGCACCTAATCTGGGGTAAGCACATCCTATGGGTTCACACTGTTAAAGTCACTGGGCACCACAGGCCTGTCTTGGGGGTACTGGAAAGTTAAAGCATTGGACCCCAATCTCCCGAAATCCTCAAAGGCAGGCACTGAACCACAGCAACACAGCCAGGCTTCTGAGTTTTTTATTTTCTGTTTATTTTTTGATTGTGAAGATGAGACTCAACAAGTCACAAAGGAAACTCCTATGCCCTGAGCCAGGTGTCCCGCTGCAGAGGCAGGTGGGAGGCGAGGCCCCAACCTGACCAGAGCCTGCGGCATGTTTTTCAGAGCAGGAGAATTTTTTGACACATGTTGACATTTTACAGTGTAAACAGAGACTTGGCTAAACAAGCCAAGATGAGCAGGGCCAGGTTCACACCTCGTGTTCCTGCTGCTCTCTCTCCCTTCCCAGCCCCGCCTGCAGCAGGAGAAATACCAGGGCAGGTGACAATACCAAGACATTTCTATAAAAGCAATGGAAAAGAGCAGATAACTCATTAAATACATTCATTTTGGCTCTTTGTTCCAATATCTAAATACTCAGAAGTAATTAGAGTGAACCTGAAAGAGAGGGGTACCATACTCTAGCACCATTTATGCGAAGGCATTTTTCAATATAATACAACTGTTAAAATTAAATACAAAATTACTTTATTAAGTTCAAGCACAGGGAAACGACTGCTGACTTGATATTTCAAATCCAGACCTGACCGGTTCCTTGCTGTTACCCATGTTTTGGGAATTTCATTGCTGACCCAAGAAATCAACAAGACTGAGATAAAACTCCAGTCAGTGTTCTCCATTAATAGCTCTGGCTATTAATAAGCATTTGAAATATTTAAATATACAGGTGGCCATAAGGCCTGGGAACAGAGACATATACAATAAATAGTTTGTTGATATAACATTCCAATACAATTAATGTATTTTCAGATTCAATGGCCACTCTGTATAGTTTAATTATACACATTAACCCATTCCACCATTCCCAGTCATAAATTTCAATTTACCATGAAAAAAATATATAAATGGGACAGCTCCCCTCCACCCTACCCACTTCTGCTGGGGCCCCTCCTGTAGGCCTCCGGACATAAGACAGTCACTATGGGACTTCAGCACACATACATTTACATACATGTACGTGCTTGCATACACGTACAACACACACACCCTCCTGGGCATGGCGAGCCCACCTTGCTCCCAATGCTACTGCCACTAGGGTGCTGGGCAGGCAGTCAAATTAGTTTAGTTTTGTGCTTTCCATGGTTCCAGGTTATAGATAGAATTACACAAATGTTAAAAAGAGGTGCCCATCTTTATTCTCTGTACAACTCAGCACTGGCGCCCTGGTCTCTTCACCCCTCAGAAGAGATCACCAATGAGGTTGCCCAAAGGCATTAAATGTCACTCTTCTGTTATGTGGGGACTTAATAAACTTTAGAAAAAGGAATTTGCAGAATCCACCCAAATAAATCCTTCCCCTCTTTCAGATTTGTATTCTTTTATAACTTAAGCCCAGGAGGTGTGCCAGGCATCTGTTGTTTTCGTTTCTACGTGGCATTTCTCATCTAAAATCAGTCCTCCTTTGGTTCACTTTGTACAATTACTTGGGCCATTTTTAAATGACTTGACATTGGACTCTGCTTCTGCTGAGCTATTTGGGGACACTCCAGGCCTTTCACACACATTTTAGGTTCACTTCACAGCAGTCACATATCTTTAAAAAGGCATTTATTTATGTATGCCTACAAGTGAGAAGCCCTGGAGGTATGTACTAGCACTTTTGAAAATAACTTTCTGGCTTTCAAGGGGGAGTGCCTGCAAAGTGTTGCTTAAGAAAGGGAGAAAAGAAGGTAATCTAACTTTATTTTAACATCAGAAAGGAGAACAGCCAGGAAGACTACTGGAGTCCTTCATCTATGCCGATGGTAAAGGCGCTACATCATTAAATGCAATGATGTCATTTTCATAAGCACTTCAGTCAAGGAAGATCTGCAAAAACAAAACTACGAGGAAAACGGCATGTGGGGGTGAGGGTGAGAGCAGGACTAGCACAGCCTCTTAAAACAAAAATACTAAAAAGAAAACAAGCACATAACCCGCAAAGGCCGTTTCTCCCATCAGAGGTGTGAGTGCACATGGCCTGAGATTTTACCTGGTAAGACTAATGAAAGAACACAAAGGCAATGTCTGTTATTCTTAAAGAAAAATTTCATCAGGCATTAACTGAATATATAATAGTATGATAAAAGTGGAAATTGCTATATAAAGAAAACAGGGTCAGTCTTGTTCTGTGCATTTAAAACATTTTCAGATATGCCATATTTGAAGGAAGAGGAACTGCAAGCATTTCAGATCAAATTCCACCTACGTCTAGATCACAAGTGAAAAACCACACACTGGCCTCATGTTCTCCATTGCCGACATCACCGTTCCACGTGTATGGGTGAGATGAACAGCTGTATATGCAGGTGAGGAGGGGAGCCAGAAAAAATTCTGAAGGAGCAAAGCTAATGCCATGGAACTTGCTACACAGAAATTCTTTTTTATTTAAATGTACCTTAAAGGAGCTCAAAGGTGTAAGTCATGCCTGCTTAAGGTGGAGATTATCTTTCTGCCAAAATCATAGGGTCCAGAATCTCTGAACTCTCGCAATAAACTCTGGGATTAAAAGTAAGCACAGAGCAGTTCCCACTAACTTTCCTTCTAGATACTTTATCATTTTAGAGGTCCTTCTAAATAATTGTCCTCTTGAATCCATTTTGGTCTCAATTTAATTTCTATTCTGCTCATGTCACTGACCAGCCCAAGACCAGGAATGAGAAATTGAATTAGGACTCTGAATAACTGAAGTTGCATGTTGCAACAAACAAATGTTCTTTTTAAAGTTGGCCAATCATCTATATTTCCTGAAGCACTGTTTCATGGACAGCTTTGCTCCTCTTATGCTGTGATCCCGTTAAGCCTGGACAATGTCTGAGAGCAGAGTCCATCCAATAAGGCCTTAGGACAGAAAACCAGTTAAACTTACCTTTTTGAATTTTTATCAGTGTAGGAGTAAAGACCACAATTTTAACAATATCATACATAGAAACAAGAAAAAAGTATAAAATGTAAACAATTAAGTTGCCCAGAAGTTCAGTTCAAGTTTACTGAGATTAGATTATTTTCAAAATTCAAAGACAGATGATCATGAGTATCATTAAATTCAATGGTGGGTATGAACAAATGGTCAGAGGAACACAGACCCCTGCTGCCTTGTTCAGCCTACACATTTGAAGTTATGCTTTTAAAAATATTAAAGAATGAAATGTAATGTGTTTCCTGTTATGTTACAAATACTAAAATGAAGCATCAAAGCCAACAAGAAGTCATTATTATTACTTGAACTTGGCTTCTAGGCACCTCCTATCCAGGCACCATTGCATTTCACAGTGAAAAACACAAGCCTCCCCAATCCACACACATTTAGAGCAGAATTTGATTCAGAGAATTAGCATCTACCAAAATGTGGTGACCATTACTGATGAGGTCATGGGGAAAATACTAACGTAACAGTCTGAATAGTTTTGTGTGGCCTCTGAGTTTTCTCAACTAAGAATTTGAAGTGAAAGCAAAACTTAGATTTTCAAAAAAGGTTCGCCCCTCTGAAAAAACAGATTAGAGAGCTTATAAACTATTAAACTGCACCAAATAAAAATTTAAGTTATTCTAAAATAAAGCTCAGTGCTTCAGGGAAACACCACCTCTACTAATGCTGAGCCAATTCAGGTGCTGCTGGTACAACCCTAAAGAGTGACGTGTCTGGTAACTGTGAGCACTGTCCACACCTCACGTGGACAATTCAGGTCCTAATGCAGGCCACAGGCAGCTAGGCTGCCCCATAACCACCACCCAGTCACCATGCAGGCAATTGCTCAGGGCCCAGAACCCTGCCTCCCTCAGGCTTTCCAAACCAAATCAGGGACAATGCAGCATAGCCATACTTCTGCACTGTTTTAGTATGCACTTCTGCTTAAACTAACTCATGAAAAACCTTAGCTACTCTGCTGTTACTCATCCCCTGCCAGCAGATGAATTTGGCAATAGAAACATCCTAAAAAATAGTAGGAAAAGGGCACAGGAAGACCTGGATCCAGCTTATCCCACCCCTAAACTCAGATATCTGAGGGCCTGTGGTCATTTGGCCTTGGTTTCCTCCTCTAAAAACGCAGATAGATCTGAACTCTGTTCTGACTATAATAGTGAACCTATGGGCCACAGAGTAATAAACAGCCCGACACTAGAGCACACCACTTGCACCCAGCACCAGACCTGGTGTGGCTGCGGCCTCAACACTGGTCATGTCGTCGAAGAGCAAGGATTTACAGGTGCCATCATCTCCCTCCTGCTCCTTCTCCAGCCTTTAAAAAACCAATTCTCAATCATCTATTAAATAATCTGTTTAAGGTAGCTTTAATTAGTATATAAATCCAAACCCCTGCTTGCCAAGACTATCAGAGGATGTCGACACTGCCATTAGCAGACTCCATCCCAGAATTATACCACGTAAGCAGACTGCATAGGAAGGGCACCACAGAGACCCATTACCACAAAAACAAAAAAATTACTATTAAAAAAAAAATTTGAAAGCCAGTTTACTAATAGAGAAAGTTTGGTTTGAGATATAAAGAGCATTCTTCTGACACTAAAGTATTTGTTTTATAACAAAGATGGAGTGTGCAGCTTCCAACAGATGTGTTGGAAGGCCCCACTAAAACATATTGCATCATAAATGAGAAGAAAACTTGGTTAACTCATTATCAGAAGCTAGTCTTCAGAACATCCCAGGCCAGCTTGGCTCACAGGGTCCAAGAGTCCACGTAATTCATTCTAAGAGACCAGCAAGCCGGGGCCCGGGCTGAGGAGTGGCCCGCACGCCTTGGCCCTGCTGCCAGGCTGCCGGGTGTACGTCTCTCACAAACTCGTCTCCTCACACACTCTGACGGGGATGTTGTAATGCCGATCGTCCTCGGCAATCAGGGTCACCACCGGCCAGTCCCTGGGTGGGTCTGTGGGGTACACCGTGATGAACTCCTCAGTGCTGTACTTGGAGAGCCGGTACACCTGGATGGTGTGGCGCACAGCATAGGCCAGAAGGAACATTTCAATCTGCAGAGGAGAGCAAACAGGTAAGGGAAGGGCAGCCACCCTGAAAGATGCCGCTTACCTCCCGCTCCATCCCAGGTGTCCCAGGCCAAGCCAGCTAAGCCAAAATCCTCTTCCTCCCCATGGACCAGCCCCAGTCCTCTTTCATATGGTCGTTGTAAACAGGCAAATGACCAAGAATGGATCGTGTCTGCTGAGGGACTTGTAACCAGAATTTATCACAACTCTTACAACTCAATAAAAAAACAAAGGACCAGTTTAAAAACTGAGCAAAGGGCCCGAACGGATAGTTCTCCAAAGAAGATACACAAATGGCCAATATGCACATGAAAAGTCATCAAGGGAATGGAATCAAAACCATGGTGAGATACCGCGTCACACCCTCTGGAATGGCTCCAATCAAAAAGACAAAAGATGCGGGGGAATGACTGCTTACCGGGTATGTTTTTCTTTTCAGGCATGAAATGATTTGATACAGGTAGTGGTCACACAACACGTAAATGTACTAAAGGCCACTGAGCTGTACACTTTAAAATGGTTACTTGTATGTTATGTGAGGTATAGATGTGGGAATGACCAATGATACAGCTGTTCCTCAACACTAAATAAAGAACTGCCATATGACCCAGCAATTCCACTCCCAGGTACATACCCAAGAGAACTGAAAAAATATGTCCACACAAAAAAAAACTTGCACATGAATGTTCAGAGCAGGATTTTTCAAAATAGTTAAAAAAGGAATGACCCAAATATCCATCAACTGATGAGTAGATGAATAAAATGCGATATATCCATACCATGGAATAGTATTTGTCAATAAAAAGGAATGAAGAATTGACACATGATACAATATGCATGAACCTTAAAAACACTAAGCTGTGAAAGAAACCAGTCACAGAAGACCACATATTGTATGATTTATGATTCCATTTATATGAACTCTCTCCATAGTAGGCAAATCTAAGGTGACAGAAAGTAGATTACTGGCTGCCTAGGACTGGGGGGAGTAAGAATGGGTCTCAGGTTTCTTTTAGAGGTGATAAAATGGTTTAAAATTAGACTGTGATGGCTGCAAACATACTAAAAAACGATTGAGCTGAATACTTTAAAAGGGCAAACTTTACGGTCAGTAAATTATTTCAATAAAGCTGTTTTTTAAACACTGGACTCTCCATGACAGCAGACCTTGTGGAGATCCAAAAGGACTAACATGCAAAACACCCTCTACCAGGCTTTTCACTGCAATGTACTTGCTACTGTTCAGGAGACATTAGGTAACTTACGCTACAAGTACAGGTTATTTTAAATAATTATCTTCAATCCTGCCTGACCCAGCATGACCATCATCTTTGCTCTTTCAGACAGACCAGGAAAAGCAAGCCAAAGAGCCAGCCATGGAAGAAGAAAGGAAGCTCTTTGGAAGGCTAGCCTTAATGCAACTTTAGTGGCTGGCTATCCCACGAAAAAAAGACATAAGCTTTTTAAGGCAGCGTAATGAACTCACCAAAGACAGAGAGTGCAAAGTAAGCCAACCGTTGCGTCCTGGGACAGTACTGTATTGGGTCTCTGTGTAAAATTCCAAACTAGTGTATGTGTAAAAGATCAAGAGCAGGCTGCGCTCTACTGGCTAAGGTGACCCCATTTCTATTTTTAAAGGATCATAGCTAATACAGCTACAGCTGCCAAGATTAAACACCCTTCACATGACTCTTTTTTTTTAGACTACCAGATCCAAAGATACTGATCCCATTACCACCTGCAGAAGCAAGCCCAGGCTGAGATAACCATGTTGGTCCTAAAATAGATTCACAATTCTGTAAGAGTGGGATGAACTTGGTGACCTGCTAACAAATATAATATGGGTAAGTGTGATGGGGTGTGACTTCTAAGATTAGACCAGGGGTGGGCAAACTTTTTGACTCGAGGGCCACAATGGGTTCTTAAACTGGACCGGAGGGCCGGAACAAAAGCATGGATAGAGTGTTTGTGTGAACTAATATAAATTCAAAGTAAACATCATTACATAAAAGGGTACGGTCTTTTTTTTTTTTTTTTAGTTTTATTCATTTCAAAAGGGCCGGATCCGGCCCGCGGGCCGTAGTTTGCCCACGGCTGGATTAGACCATAAAAGGCATTGTGGCTTCTTTCCACTCTCTCCTTGAATTACTTTCTGAGAGAAGCCAGTTGCCATGTTGTGAGGACACTCACACAGCCCTATCTGTATAAAGCCCCACATGGCAAGAAACTACCCCCTACCAGTGAGAAACTGAGGCCTCCCGCCAACAGCCAGGTGAGTGAGCCATGTTAGACATGGATCCTCCAACCCAAGTCAAGTCCTCAGATGATTGCAACCTGAGACCTCAAGCCCAAGTCACCCACTGAGTTGCTCCTGAATTCCTGACACCCAAGCACTACGAGATAATGTTTGATGGTTAATGCTGGTGTTTTGGGATAATACACAAGGGTATAACTCACCTGTTCGAGGCCACCAGTGTGTCCCACCTGATTTAGATGGTTCCTCAGTAGCTGTCCAGGGTCACTGGATGTGTCCCGAGCAAACAGAAGCACAGAGAAAAATGGTACATCCTCTCCCTTCTCTTTATCATCATATAGTTCAATGGCTCTGTGTAACATTAAAAATTTTACAGCTTCATAAAGGCTATATTCTTCCTCTTCATTTGTGAACAGTTCATCACAAGCTTTCTGCCTTGCTTCAGCAGTTCTCAGTTCAGCCAAGCCTGCCCACTGCAATAAAAAAGTTACATAATAATTACATTTTTGCTCTAAAAGTCCCTGGTATACTTCCATACTTTGAGCACAAAATCATTTTCAAAAGTAGGCAACCATGGGTCACAACATTCAAGTTTCCAGCTCAAACAATGGTACTACTCTTTAGGCCACACAAAATCCTTATTCAGTTTCTGCCCCATTAATTTGAAACAAAAGTACAACGCACTAAGGAGAAGCACTGGGACTGTGGAATGGCAATTTGGAACCCTAACTTCAGGCAATGAGACTCAATCAACCAAATATTTATGGAAGACCTAACGTGTATGTGTGAGTCCTGGGTGTGAAGCTGTGAAGAAGAGCTAAAATTACTCCTCTCTATAAGGGGGCTTACAGTTATCCAGAAACCTTCAAAAATGAAGATGGGCAAGGATGATTAGGGGATCTCCTAAATAATTAGTTTACTAAATTTAACCTTCTAACCTCTTGGAAGTATACGTGAGTTTCAAATGAATAAATTCATTCAGGAAATTCTAATTGACTCCTGATTAAGAATAGAGCAGTGTCAGGTATTCAGCTAAAATAGACACATTCTTAATGTGAACAAGAAAACCCCATAAATACATGTACTTTTAAGTTAAAGTAAATTAGAATAAAAGATGCCAATATGAAACTAGTCCTTAGGAATCACCAGAAACTACCACCCCCTGAAAACCCAGTAAAATTTTAAATCCAAGAGTAAATTTTAATGGTAATGACTGCACCACAGGACTCTCTAACAAGTGGGCTGAAAGCTGGAACACCTCATTTTCCAGAAGTAGACAAGTTGCCAGTCAAGAGCATAGCTCTAGAGTCCGGATGGAATGAAGGCCTCACCCAAGCAGCTGATGGCTTTTACAGGGCATTAACCAATTGCGGGGCCTTAGTTTTCTCAGCTGTAAATATGGGGTAACCATAGCAACACCACCTTGGTAGTTGCAAGAATTAAATACAACTTTTAGTGTACGGCCTGGCCCATAGAAAGTGCTGGGAATGTAGCTCAGATTATTAATAATTTTCACATTACTGTAAATTGGAATCACTTAAACATTCCCCAAAACGAGGATCCAGTCACTCTAGACCAGTGATGGCGAACCTATGACACGCGTGTCAGAGGTGACACGTGAACTCATTTTTTGGTTGATTTTTCTTTGTTAAATGGCATTTAAATATATAAAATAAATATCAAAAATATAAGTCTTTGTTTTACTATGGTTGCAAATATAAAAAATTTCTATATGTGACACGGCACCAGAGTTAGGGTTTTTCAAAATGCTGACACGCCGAGCTCAAAAGGTTCGCCATCACTGCTCTAGACACACCTAAAAGAAGCAAAAATTGCAGTTTCACAAGAACTTAAAAGAGATAAAAATGAAATCACAAGTGACTGAACTGAAGAGCCTTCTCACTCCCACAGGGCCAGAGTCCTGCCCTCAACCCTCCACTGACCCGGGGACTGGGCAGCACAGGTCTCCAACCCCCACAAATCCTGTGCTCTGCTTAACAGGCAAGAACAACAGAATCCCTCTGTCTTTCTTGTCCTCCCATTTCATCACTGGTGTTCCTGTGCAGTGTGTTTTGCAGTAAATACTTCTATGATTGCAAACCCAAACTAGGTTCCAGGAAGTCAGATCCTCAGTCCATCCATCAACAAGATATTTACCGAATGCCTATTATGTGTCAGGCTCAGGTCTAGGCACTGGGTATAAAGAAATGACATCTTTCATGAAGCTAAAAGTCTAATAGGACATGAATTCGTATCACTGATATTACGATAAGAAATTTGGACTGTCCCTAGCCAGTGTGGCTCAGCTGGTTGAGCGTCATCCTGTGCACCACTGAAAGGTCACCAGTTCGGTTCCCAGTCAGGGCACATGCCCAGGTTGTGGACTTGATCCCTGGTTGGGTGCATGTAGAAGGCAGCCAAACCATGTTTCTCTCATATTGATGTTTCTCTGTCTTTTTCTTCCTTTCCCTTCCTCTCTCTCAATTCAATAAAAACATTAAAAAAAGAAAAATATGGACTAAATGTATCACTGAAACTTGTCAGTATGACTTAGCACAAAGACTATATTTGTTATGGTTTCCTTTTAAGATAAACAATTCATTAAACATATCACCTCCTCCAAAAATACTTGATGTTGATATTTCTCAATTTTACCAAAGACCTCACAGGAAGGGTTTGTGTTCATCCAAAATTATTTTGCCTAAAAACCAGCCAAGAACATTTGGTAATCCACTAAGTGAGAACTAAGAAGTGGTCTGCTGAGGGGGATAAATGGTGATGGAAGGAGACTTGACTTGAGTGGTGAACACATAATACAATATATAGATGATGTATTATAGAATTGTATACCTGAATCCTATATAATTTTATTAACCAATGTCACCCCAATAAATTCAAGAGAAAAAAATGGTCTGCTGGGGCAATTAGGAGCAGGAGCTTTTGCACTTCACAGAAAAAGAAAATTACATGTTCCAAACCTTCTTTCTTAGTAAAGTGAGGGACTCCTTAATTTTATCAACCAGGTCCTCGCTCTTCCCCTCAAATTTCAATCCAAGTTTCCACTGCTTGATCCAGCTGTATTTGCTTATGAGTTTTTCTGGTAACTGGAGTATGAAGAAACAGAGAGACAAAGAACATTAACCCTCCAAAAAGTCCATCACATGAACCAAGCTGTAAGAAACCACAAAGCCCTTTGTCCTTCTCTTTCTCCCATTTCCTTATCACTAGAGTTCCTACCTTCGTTTCCAGAATTAATCCCTGCAAACCTGTCATGTGGGTTTAGGCTGGATCACCTAAACCTGGAAGTCAGGAACTCAGAAAGTACTGCCCTAAGGAGGACTGCTAGAGTGAAATGAAGGTTTGGGTTGAGATACAGGAGCTCAATATAGCCTGCACAACCACCCCAGCCAGGAAGCCTGCACAGCACTTTGTGAGTGCACGTGAAGGAGCCTCTTCACTAAAGCCTCCAGCAGCTGCTGGGCCTTTGGCAGCCTCCCTAGCACTCCATACTGCCTGACTCTGGAAGGGGCTCCAGGACTTGTGAGATGGTCCAGGATAAAGTAAAACACCTGCTCCCTTCCTGACTGGAAAAACAAAACCTAATTTTGATATTAACACATATACTCAAAGTTTTAATATTCAATGAAGCGATATTGTATCTAATTCCACTGCTTAGTATAGTAAGATAAAAAACAGCACTGAGAATAAGAGGTAGGGGTTAAGGGAGCTGTGATGGCCTAGCTCAGTGGTCGGCAAACTGCGGCCCCTTGAGTGCAGCTCTTTCACAAAATACCACGTGCGGGCGAGCATGTACAGTGTGATTGAAACTTCGTGGCCACACTGAAGGGGCCAAAGAGCTGCATGTGGCTTGTGAGCTGCGGTTTGCGGACCACAGGCCTAGCTCATTAAAGAAGTGACAGCTGAACTCATACTTTGCCTGCTTCTCTTTTGTTATTTCCCCCCAATCATCAGTGGAATCTGGAGTCTGAAAGGCAAGATGGGACACAACTTGATGGATGACAGCATGGGAACTCACTCTCCCAACAGTCTCCGGTGTGCCAGGAGAAAAATCCATATTATTAGGTTGGGCACAGGCATGTCGTGTCACTGCTATAAAATTTAGAGAGGAAAAAAAAAGTTCACCTCCATGTCAAAAGATCATTAAAGAATAATTATTTCCTACAACATCCTATGTGGACCCTGAGCTTATTTAACAGTTACAAATAGGTTTTTTAAAATATATATTTTTATTGATTTCAGAGAAGGGAGAGGGAGAGAGAGATAGAAACATCAATGATGAGAATGAATCATTGATTGGCTGCCTCCTGCATGCCCCCTACTGGGGATCGAGCCCACAACCCGGGCATGTGCCCTTGACAGGAATTGAACTCGGGACCTTTTAGTCCAAAGTCCGATGCTCTATCCACTGAACCAAACCGGCTAGGGCATAAATAGTTTTAAATGAGACCATATGTTCAGTTCTTCCGTAATCTAAGACCCTGCCTACCCTTTCATAATGGTAATTCCAGTTTTACCTTCTCAGTCTATACCAGCCGTGGGCAAACTATGGCCCGCGGGCCAAATCCGGCCCATTTGAAATGAATAAAACTAAAAAAAAAAAGACCGTACCCTTTTATGTAATGATGTTTACTTTGAATTTATATTAGTTCACACGAACACTCCATCCATGCTTTTGTTCCGGCCCTCTGGTCCAGTTTAAGAACCCATTGTGGCCCTCGAGTCAAAAAGTTTGCCCACCCCTGGTCTATACCAATCATGTAAAACAAAGGTGGTTTCATCGCTACAAAAAACTAAACCACCACTGGGATATAAATTCCTCTTGCAGTTCCCACAGTGATGCTCATCCACACTTACTCATAAGGGGGAAGGGGCTTATCATAATGACAAATGACCACCCACCCAACTTCATGTCCCCACGGTCCTGCATTTTGGCAGCATGTGGGCAGCTCTGCTGCAAACCTTCAATTAGGTTCTGTTTCATCCAGAACCTAAAATGCCCTCAAGTGGCAACAAGCTGAAATCACAACTGGGCACAGAGAAGTGCAAGTGAGCAGAAAATCTTGGCTACACAGATGTGAGCTGGGAACCGAGTAAAGCCCATAAGCCCATCTGAGCATCACAGGACACTGTGCAGGTATCTAAAAAGCAGGCACAACACTCAACTGAATTACCCGGGAGACCCCAAAGACCTAACTATGTGGACAGAAACCAAATAAAAGTCCGCCTCCTCGGTCCTTCCATGTATTGCTCAGTGTTGCTAGAGCAATCCTCCAACACAGGGTGCATAGTTCTGGGAGACAGTGGAGCAAGTCCAAAAAATAAGGTGTGAAAAAGAAAATACAAAGAAAAAAAATAATTGGGTTGGAATTATTTATTCAGAAGAAAAAAGTGAATATAATTTTAAGTGCTTTCAGGGCTCATAATACATAGAACACATAAATAGCCATTCTTTTCTCCTGCACCTTAAGAGACTGGACTTCTGTTATAAATTTGAGCAAGAAACAAGACTTAAGAAATAATGCTGGCCGAAACCGGTTTGGCTCATTGGATAGAGCATCGGCCTGTGGACTGAAAGGTCCCAGGTTCGATTCCGGTCAAGGGCATGTACCTGGGTTGCGGGCACATCCCCAGTAGGAGATGTGCAGGAGGCAGCTGATCGATGTTTCTCTCTCATCGATGTTTCTAACTCTCTGTCTCTCTCCCTTCCTCTCTGTAAAAAATCAATAAAATGTATTTTTTAAAAAAAGAAATAATGCTGGGAAATATTTAAGAATAAAATGGTAATCAGCTTAAGTATAATTCAATTTGTGACTAAATTATAAAAACACCCTGTTTTCTCTAACAAGTCTATAATTCTTGAAACTAACACCATGATTAAAGGGGTAGCAAATAAAAATGTGTCATCCCTAAAACTAACTCATAAAATAAGTTTTGATATACCGTAGCGTCTAACCCACTCTAAGCAAACACTGCCACAGGTCCCACCCACTCAGAGACATTCTAAAGCTTAGAAAACTTGGAAAGCAAAGGACTACCCTGAAGGACACCACCTCTCAGGGACCCAGGCCCTGTTCCAAGTTTAAGAACAGCCACACCAAGCACCTCCAAGGTTGTTAGGTAATCTGACTGCAGTCAAATACCAAAACTGGGATCCGACAGATGCAGAAACAACACATAGGGAGCCCAGGCAAGGACAGGAGGCGAGGGACAGCTGAACTGTCCAAGGGGCAGTGAGGACAAAGCTCAACCTTTCAGGTGGGGAAGGACAGAGGCCAGAGGAGCTGAGCACAGGCAGAAAGGCAAGTCCAGGCGCTCTTCACTGAGATCAGACTAAGGGGAGGGGCTCTCAGCCCAGCTCTCCCGCATCCCTTCCATGTCCTGTTCTAGGAGAGAGGGAAGAGGGCAAAATGCAACAGGGAACACTTTCAATACAACTAGCGAAAGGGCACGTGTTCCTTGGTAACAAAAGACGGCTTCCCTGGGCTCACACAGTCTTGATGGAATGTACACTAAGGTCAAGGGATGTTTAGCACAGCACAGCCGTGGGCTGAGGCTGGTTCTGGGTTCACACAAAAACTTAGGTGTCCCAGGACCTGTCTGACCCCAAAAGCTGAAGAAGTGGGTTACTTAAGCCAGTGCAATGCAGGAGACCCTCATAACGCTGACACCAGATTCCCTCTAACCTGCCTGCCGGGGCAGCCTTTCTGTGTCCCCACAAGTGGCCAGGACTTTTAAAAGGCCAATGGACACACAATAACTAGAGGTGTTGTGCCATGAACTGGCCAGCCCATAGGACTGTCACTGGACACAGGGTAGTGGCCAAAAGAGGCCCTTGGTATTTCAGAAAGACCAAGGATCAGGGTAAACTGAGAGAGATCCATTGTCAGAGACTTATTGTGGGCGTGGTCCAAGTAATTAATATACCAAGCCGACCCAATTTTAACACAAATAATTTATACCAAGTTCTAACAACAAGCAGAGTGTTACTTAATGTGACACAATACAAGTTATTCTGCTCTATCAGGAAGATGGGGAGGAAATGGTCACACTCACTTTCATACCAAAACCTCTGTAAGATTTTGTTTTGTAGCCAGAGAATTATTTAAGTTTCACTTGATCTGCTTGTCTTAAGCATCTGTGTTAACAAATAAATATTAAGATGTTTACTTATTACAGAGTTACACAAGTAGTGCCTAGAGATGGAGAGACCCCATTTCTGAAGCAAGGTGATCCAGGTACCCCAACACCCTAGAGTGCACTGCCAGCCCCCTAGAGTGCACTGCCAGCCGCAGAAGGCCTCACCACCCCTCCGTCTATGCACTTAGTTCCACCCCAACATCTTCTGGTCACGCTGCGCCACCCACTCCCTCACTCAACCTGGCCCTTGTCGGTGAGAACAGGAGTGCAATGGCATCCTCAGAGAGCACGAGGGGCAACTGGGAGGTGCTTAGAAAATAGTTTGGTCAAGTGCAACAACCAAGTCTGATACCCCTTCCTGCTCTGGCACCTCAAATATGAAGCATGTGGTGCATCTGTCACCTGCTCAAGCAATCAGCAAAACGGACCCTGTAAAAAAAGTGCTCAAACCAAGGAAAGTTGCTGGGGGTTGGGAAGCCAGAAGGAGAACAAGTCTTCTAGTTAGAGGAGAACAAGAAAAGAATAGTCATTTCTTTAGATGGCATTAACAGAACGAAAGTTTAATAAACTTAAATACTAAAGTCACAGGCAGGCATGAGGCGCTTCTTCTGTGGCACGGGCCTCTTGGCATTCAATAAAGGTTACATGACAAAAATAATGCCAATAATACCACTGTGACCAACTAATCAGATTATGCTCCAAGAGAGAAACTGTATTTGTTGGTTGATGTTCACAGAAAAGGGAAGAAATTGGGAAGAGCACTTGAGAATTTAAAAACTATTTCCACATGACTCAAATGCAATCAGGAAAACCATCTTAAAGCCCCATTGCTCATTCACACAACATATTCTAATGGTGATCAGAAAGCAAGCACAATCCACCTTGCCTGCTTTTACTACCTATAGGCATCCTGTCGATAAAGTAAAAGGGACACTATGCTTTACTTTCACGGGGCATATTCTATATGTTTAATTATACAGCACACTACTGTACCAGAGTTTCTTGGGAAATATAAAAATTCAAATTCATTATGTCAATTAAATCCATACATTTAAACAGCCCCTAAAGAAAAAGGCTCAAAAGGCTCAGCCTAAAACAAGGAGGATTTTATGTCACAATCTATTAAATTATGACAATCAAACACTGAAGTTAAAGCAAAAAAAAAGTGAAATCACTCACATTTGCTTCCCTAAGTGTCTTATAGCCAGCCACAGGCATGCTTTTGCCAAATAATCAGCAATTCTGAAATTTTTCACTACCTATAAATGTCATGATTTGCAAAGGACAAAATAGCCTTGTGGATCAACTGCTTTTGTTTCTGTATTTTAAAAACAATCAATAAGCTAGTACTGAGTAACCTGCTTAAGATAACATATCTTTGCTGAGAAAAAAAATAGCTTTCACAGTTTACACAGGTGTGCTGATATATATCGGTTTATAAAGCGGATAATCACAGGATGGACAGGTAGTATCCACCACCCACTGGTCCTGGTTTTGCCCACTGAGGGCATGTGATCGTTCATTCGCCTAACAGACCTCTAATTAGCTCAGCTGGCAGCTAAAAATCCTCTTTCTTCTAGGCCCCTTCAACTTCAAGTACCCCAGCTCCTTCACTGTTCCCAAAACGAGATGAATCGTCGTGGTCACACTCCCATCTGCTCTGAGGAACGGCACAGAGCTGCACTTGCTCCTTGAGATGGGAGCTGACCAGCGCAGTCCAAGACGGGCTGTCGCTGTTGGAAGCGCACCCTTAAAGCAGGGCTCCCCTACCACCGCCGGCCATCACGTCGCTCGGGCTTCTGTGGGGCTTGCAATCAATTAAGATCCTCATGTCCTTTTCCCCCTCGTAAGTTGCCAGCAAAGTGGATGTCCCACAGCTAGCACTTTGGGTTTTGTTTTTGCTTTTTAAAAAAATAGAAGCAACAAGACTTCCAATTTTCTTCTAATTATGCCCTATTGTCAGCTTTGCTCAATCATTCCCACCCACCGAACTCTTTTGGGGTATTCTATTTCCCAACCTATGATGGGACCTCATCTGATGTGTGTGGACACACGACACGATGAGACATGATTTCCTGGGTGTCACTACCACATCTCAGGTTTAAACCACTGGCAAAGGCCTAGCATGGGTACACAGCCCGACCTTCACCTCCCCAGGAAGCCCCTCCCAGGGTAACATCAATCACCCGCTTCTAGTGCTGCTGCTCAACCACCTACGAAGCCAATCCTCCTAACACTGCACAGAGGGTGCTAGTTTCTTGAACTGGAGCTGAAATTACAGGAATGTGCACCCTAAAACCCCAGCAGGTTCTCAGAAAGACCAATACACACTCCATTTAATTCAGCACCAGCACAGAAGCCAAACTGCTCCTTTACAAACTCTTAGCGCCTGCTCACTAATTCAGCTCAACTGTTCAAATAAACTTTATCATTTTTCTCTTCTGGGAAATACTATTTTTGTTCGCTTTTACTATGCAAAATCATCCCAACCACACAAAACCCAATGAACCCACATGCTGACGTCATCTTGCATACAGGGCTAGCACAGAGCACGGGCAGAAAAGGGAAGTCTTTCTCACAGAAATGATTGGAAACATTACGGACGCAAACCTGCAGCAGCAGCGTACCAGCGTGAGCTCCGGGTCCTGCAGCCAGGAGGGCAGCCCCGCTGGCTGGCTCATGGCCTGGAACAGTGTGGCCCTCAGCGCACAGTAGTTATCTCCGCGGACTCGCCTTATGGAGGTGAATTTCTGAGATACCTCTTCGTAGCCCTGGGTGAAAGCATCAAAGAACTCAAAATGGTTGTTACTAACTTCAGGGAGAGTTTTATTCCTATGGAAAAATGTGCCCCTGAAAGACTGTAAACAAGACTGGTTGAGTCCTTCATGTAAAACACTCTAATTCCTTATTAATCAAAAGATATTAACAAATGTTAGTACTGTACAAAATATTAGCATGGTAACAGATGCAATACACTATAACATATAAATAATACACCAAGTATTATTAAAACACTAACCACTCCCAAAGCTGGAGTTATATATGTCCCTTCCTAAGCAATTGTTGTATTGATAACCGAATGTATGGATAATTGTAATTATGTATTGACTAGAGCAGCGGTTCTCAACCTGTGGGTCGCGACCCGTTTGGAGGTCGAACGACCCTTTCATAGGGGTCGCCTAAGACCATCGGAAAACACATATATAATTACATATTGTTTTTGTGATTAATCACTATGCTTTATGTTCAATTTGTAACAATGAAAATACATCCTGCATATCAGATATTTACATTACGATTCATAACAGTAGCAAAATTACAATTATGAAATAGGAACGAAAATAATTTTATGGTTGGGGGTCACCACAACATGAGGAACTGTATTAAAGGGTCACGGCATTAGGAAGGTTGAGAACCACTGGACTAGGGGCACAGTGCATGAAATTCATGCACGGTGTGTGTGTGGGGGGGGGGGGGGGCCTCTTGGCCCAGCCTATACCCTCTCACAATTCAGGACCCCTCGAGTGGGTTTTGGCCCAATCCCACAATCTGGAAGTGAAAGGAGGAAATGAAAATGTTCAGTGACATGCTCTCAAAAACAGCATTCAAATGGAACATTTTGAAGCATACTCGAAAAAGGGCACCAAAAAATCCTAGTGACCAGTCCACAGGCCTTTGATGATCTGATCTCCCTGGCTGGGCACTTCTCAGGCATTGTATCAACCTCAGTGCTACCCCAACTCGCTCACTTCCAATCTGTCCGTCCTTTCACTTGGCCTGCTCTTCCTTGACAGTCTCTGGAGACCACTTCCTACCCTGCACTCACTCAAAGAAAGGAGTCTCGCTCTCACCACACAGACAGCCATCCTGTGTCCAAGTGCTGCACCCTCATCACGAGCTGTTTTCAAGGTCCAAGTCACAGGACAGTGTTCTTAGTGGGTATGAAAGTTCTTCTTTAAAACAAAATGTTGAGAGTCCCATTTTTATGTAGTGGTCCAATCACTGTGACAGATAAGGGTCCATCAACCAGACTCACATCCACTAATGTCCATCTCTTCCCTATGGTGGGCCCTCAATTACCTTGAATATTCACAATGGCTTGTTCAACAGCAACTGCACCTCTCCAATTGTGTACATTACTTGTGCTATTTCAGAGGTGAGTCAAACTTTTAAAATTAAATTTGGATTTATACACATCTCCAAAAGAATACCCAAAACAGACAAACAAGGACTAAAGAAAGAACCGAGACTCAAGCTGCTCTCAGGCCTGAGGTGCTCTAATTACTGTCACGAGTCCTGATGTGAAGACATTTTTCTAACTAAGGTGCCTTTGATTAAATTTTGGTCCCTGAATAGCCCAACCACAGGGTCAAATCTTTTTCTTGAAATAAAATGACAGAGAAATGATTTCAGCATGAGTTCCAAAATATGGAATATTTGGATAACTTAGGGGTCATCTTCAATTATGGACTTTCAGGTGCCAGTTGTTAGAAAAATCCTTTAAAGAGAATGAGATTATATAATTGCAAGTCAATGAAGGTATTTCTGGGGAAGATGAAAAAATATGGGCATACCTAGGAGATATTACGGTTCAGTTCCAGACCACCACAATAAAGTGAATATCTCAATAAAGCAAGTCACCTGAGTTTTTTGGTTTCCCAATGCATATACAAGTTATGTTTACACTCCACTGTAGTCTATTAAGTGTGCAATATTATGCCTAAAAAAGCAATGTATATACCTTAATTAAAAAAACACAATTGGTAGTTATACAATAGTCATAGGGATATAAAGTACAGCATAGGGAATATAGTCAATAATTTTGTAATAACTATGTATGTGCCAGCTGGACACTAGATATATCAGGGGAACACTTGTAAAGCATGTGGTTGTGAAACAACTATGCTGTACACCTGACACCAATACAAAATAACACTGAATGTAAACTGAAACTGAAAAAATAAAAAAAACACCCCACTTTATTGCTAAAATAATGCTAACAATCACCTGAGCCTGCTGGAAAAATGGCATCAATACACCTGCTCAACACAGGGTTGCAACAAACCTTCAATTTGTAAAAAAAAGGCAACAAAGCAAAGCACAATAAAATGAGCTATGCCTGTGTAGTTTAGATACTGGTCTACTGGTTATCTAGTCTGATACTAGGTGAAGGTTGTTAGAAAATCTATGAGTGGCTGATATGCACATTCAGCAGATGGCCTCACAAATCTAGATGTTCTTCACCGCTGGCAGGAACTGAAAGTCCCTGGTATTTCCTGATTGAGTTCTCTCACAAGAGACTGAGCCTACAGTCCACACCTGCAGGGGGCAGAGCTGACATATGCTCTCAGAGCTTGAAAAGTGACAGCTACACTCTGAGTTAAGATCAGCTCATTTCCGGACAGGCCTGGGCAGCTGAGGTACCTGCTGAAAGATGTGCAATACTGTCTACAAAAACAAGCTCTGAGAAAAAGACCAAATGTATTCAAATATTTAAACATTTTAAATCCTAAATAGTTACAAATAAAAAATATACTAGGAAAATGTCTACCAAGTATAATAATAGATCAATATCTCTAGTATACAAGTGCACTCAAATTCATAATGTAAATAAATCCAAGAGAAAATGAGCAAGAGATATGACCCAGATGTTATAAGAAGTGGTTGAAGAGTTAGACTGAAACTCATTTTTGCAGCTCACAATGGTCAAATGGTAGCAATTTTGCATGGTTCACACTAGTAAGGAATGTTGGATTCAGGACACGTTCAAGGGAAAGTAATGGTGTCTGTTCAGCTGGCTGTGCAGTAGGAGTGAGTCAGGGGATCTGACCTGAGCAACGAGCCAGCCCAGTCACAACAGGACCATGCATGGGACTCTCTGATGTCCCACAGCCTTGGAGACTACCTTAGGGTCACCAATCTGTGCAATGGTGTTGGGAGGGGACAACTCCTGGGACGCCCTAAATGAGGGTAGGAGTTCCAGATCCCTGTGCATAAGGAGTGCAGGAGGGCCCAGCCCCTAAGACTGGAGGGCATGAAACCAAACCCCGGTGGGGACAGTAGGGGACAGGACATCTTTTACCTCACCAGGCCAGAAGGGCATTCCCAAATGACTCCAAGAGGACAAGCAATGGCTGGCCCAACTCCAAACAGCAGAGTCATTTCTGTGTTTTTCAAGGAAATCATGTTACTAAAAAACTGATGCTTCTATTTTAATACTGGGACTCGGAAAAAAGTCCCTTATCTTTGGCGTCTGTTCCTTATCTCTAAAATCAGAACACTAGTATTTACATAGTGTTAATAGCAGTTGTCATAATTAATGTCTAACAATATAAAAGAACACACTAAATAATTACTATGACAGACTATTTGAAAGACTTGAAATAAGTGCATGTAGGTGTCATACCTTTTTCATGCATGTAGCTTTTTGCGTATTTCCTCTCCATTCCTTTTTGCAGTAGTCCATGATATCCATTTCAGGAGCTACACTTAATTTAGGTTCTGTTAAAGAGTCAAACAGAAGCAGAGAGGGGGAAATAATGAAGAAAAAAAAAAGCATAATCAGAACAATGTACTACTTTATGCAGGGACTACTTCCTCTCATTTCATTCCAAAAAATCTGGGATCTCACCATTGCCTACCACCTGATCCAGACCACTATCCCCTCGCTCCTAGATAATGACAGAGGTCTCCCAATAGGTCTTCTTTATCACACACCCCACTAGCCATTCTCCAAATGGCAGCCAGAATGATGCACTTTAACGATATCCATCACTCCTGGGTCCTGAGAGCTCCTGGGGCCTCCATCTCAGTTGGAGTGGAATTGATGTCCTTACTACCTACAAGGGCCCCTGTCCTGGCCTAACTGCCTTTCTGGACTCGGCTCTCACCACTCCCCTCACTGACAACTCCTGCTCCACCTGCAGCCGCCCCTGTATTCCTCCAACACACTGGCTCTTCCCCAGGCACCTGCTTCCACATTCCATGCAGGCCTCTGCTCACCTCTGAGACCCCTATATCATAATGTCGCACACCTTCACTTATAGTCTTCTTACACTGTTGTTTTTCTTCTTGGCAATGATTAACACCCAACATATTTCTTTTTCTGTATCTCCCCCCACCCCCCACCCCGCTCCACTCCACACCCACACACAAATACAGTAAAACACAGCTCCTTGAGGGCAGGGGCTTATTTTATTTCCTGGCTATGTCCCCAGAACCTGCAGCTGCTCAGACACAGGAGTCTGCAAATACTGTCCCAATCAATTAAACATGGAACAGTCTGAGCTATGAGAAAATATATCTAATTACTTGTAATAAGTTTTTCTCATCCATTATACAAAGAGATAACACTTCAGTAATAAAACATGTATTCGTTTTTATTAATTTATATCCTGCCATGATCCCCAAAGACTAAAATAATTGATAATAAGTCAGAAACTAAAAGGGCTCTCAATGTTAGTTGAACCACAGACCTCATTTTACTCTAATAAAACAAAATTAAAAATACAACTTATGATCAAATGATATAGTAAGAAAAAGGCCTTTAGTTTTCCTTATTGTTTGGGGTTTGATTTTGTGGTCTACACATACACACTCACATGCGTATATCTATGTGTATGTTTTAGGAAAAAGGGAAGTACATTCTCAGGCATATCTTGACTTCCTTTTTAAATTATTGAAGAAGTAAATGTTAGCAAAGAAATTAGGATATAAACACAGAAGAACCTTACAATGTATCCACTCCAGAGGAAGTTGACATAAAATAAAAATACTATATTCAGCTCAATTCAACAAATATTTACTGAGTGTCTAATACACATCAAGCATTGAGCTAGGAATATGAAGGTTTACGACCCAGATTTTGTCCTGAATGGGTTTAAAGACTACTGAAGAAGACAAGACAACAGGCATTCACAAGTAAGGCTGTGATGGATGCTGAGATGACTAAGGAGCACAAAAAAGGAGCCTCTAAGCCAGCAGTTCTCAACCTGTGGGTCGCGACCCCTTTGGTGGTCAAATGACCCTTTCACTGGGGTCGCCTAAGACCATCCTGCATATCAGATATTTACATTACGATTCATAACAGTAGCAACATTACAGTTATGAAATAGCAACTAAAATAATTTGATGGTTGGGTCACAACATGAGGAACTGTATTTAAAGGGCCAGAAGGTTGAGAACCACTGAGTCTAAGCCCTTCCTGCAGTTCAGGTAAATCAATTTTTTCAATATAAAATATTAAGAACTGTCTGTTTTTAAAAATCTCATGGTGAATCCACTTATAAAGAAAATAAGCCTTGTATGAAAAGGGGAACAGCACATAGAGAGAGAACATAGATACATGTAGCTGTGGCATAAGTCAGGATTGGCTTAAAGGTGAAACAGGCCCCTAATCATTATACAGAGACCACAAATACCAATGCTGCACAGCCAATCTTCAAATAAAGACCTACCACTTGAAATTCAAGAAACATTTTTTGAGTATCTATGTAGTAGAGGAAAGAGTTGCCTTGTATCTGCCTTTCCACTCACCTCCCCACAAACCACGAGGAACTGCTAATGTCTAGAGTCAAGGACATTTACTGGGCCGTGTTCTCCCACCAGGCAGAGCACGCTTCCTGCTCAGGAGAGGCCTCCAGGAAAGAAAGTCCAGCCTTCCTCCTCTCCTCGCTTGCAGTCCTCATTCCTGCACATGCCAAAATGACACCTGCCTCCTGGGCAGGGCACAGCAGGCAGACCTACCCCTCAGGCCTGACGAGAAGAAGCAGGGCGCCTCACCTGGCCAAGAAGCCAGGCCCAGGCCACAATCCTGTGCTGAGTCAGATGTGCACATGAGGCAGGGAGGGTGAGGACATGGGGTACCTGCACAGCTGCTAGATCAACATGGTACTTTAATTCCCATCCTGCTGCTGTTTTTTGAGAGGCAGGCTCTACAGCCATGAATGCCAACCTCTAGGCCAGGGGCTGGAGGCGCAGGACAGGCAGTGCCTGACCCCAAGCAGCTCAGAGTGTACAACAGCTCCTTTCTTTCACTGCAAACCACATAGACTCTGACTATGAGGAAGAACATTTCTAATGGGAAAAGGGGGAGAGGGCTGAAAAACAGAAGGTAACTAGGAGATGAAACAAACAGAAGGTCTGGTTCTTAACAACCATGTGGTGACAAAGTCAAAGGTCAGGCCCTTGGGAGATGGGAAGTTACAGATGAACCCCTCCAGAAAGCTGAGACTCAACAACAAGCTATCAAAAAAGACCCGGCAAATTTGGGGGGGAAAGGGCAGGAATCACACACTTTTTCTATAATGAACCAGACAGTAAATAACATGGGCTTTGGGGGCGATAAAGTTCTGTCACAAATACTCCACTTTACCATGCATGAGAGCCACCATTGACAATATGTAACTGAGAAGTTCTAATGACATTTTATCTACAAAACCAGGTGGCACATCAAGTTTGGCTAGGAAGCCATAGTATGCTGATCCCTGGAGAAGGTGCAAGAAACCTTTTCACAAACAAAGAGAGAACGTAAGAAAACCTTGTTGACCTGAGCTCTGACTTGAGGATTCATAACCACAGGCCGGCTCTCATACAGGGACAGGGTGTAAACTCAGATTAGCCACGAGACCCTGGAAAGACAAGTCTAGAAATTCATATAAAGTGGCCCAAGGGAGGTGACACCCTGGGTGCCTGGCAGAAACAAGGCCAAATTTTCTCACACTCAAGCCAAGGTGCATGAACTCTACACAGATACACAAGAGCTGAGCTTATAATTCAAACTTTAAAGAAAGAAGAAATAAGCAAAATAGCAAGTGGCATAATTATATCTATCAGGATTTTTAAAAAATGAAATTATCAGACCCAGAAGAGTATGTTTAAAATGCTTTAAAAAAAAAAAAAAAAGAAATTAAAAACATGAGCAAAGAACAATAAACTATCAAAAACAACCAGGCAAATGGGCGTGGGGAGCAAGAAACAGAACTTTTCCAAAAAAGAAAATAGATCTGAATAAACCATCTAGAGTGCAACAGAGGCTACAAGATTAAAAACATATATGAAAGCATGTGTAATTGGGAGCCTCGGATGACTGAATGGGCTAGCAAATATCTAATTAAGAGTTCCGGAAGGAATACAGAGAACTGGAAAAGGCAATATTCCTAAAGATAATAGCTGAGAATTCTCCCTAATTGATGGAAATTAGGCACCCAGGAATGCAAACAGAAAAAAATATCAAGCAACACATTAAAAAAAAAAATTCACACTTCAGACTTATCAAGGAGAAACACCTAAGACAAAGAGAAGAATAAGGCAGATTATCTACCAAGGATTAGCCTGACCACAGTGTTTTAACTAACAACAGACCAGAAAACAACGCAATAAAATCTTCAAAAAGATTATAGGCAACAACTATTCATCTGGAGTTACTCAAGAAAAAAAGTGAAATAAAATTTTCAAACATACAGAGCTTCCCACCAACAGACCCTTACAGAGGCCCTTCCAAAGGTTGTTATTTCAGGAGAGCAATGAATAAACCCAGAAGGCTGAGATGAAAGAAAGAATATAAAGGGGTCCATTTTAATCTCAGACTAACGCTGGAAGTGGCAAGGCCCACTGAAAAGCTAAACTGCCTGCATTAGGGCTGTACTGGTAGGCAAAAAAGAGCCTTGAGAGTGAAGGAGAAAGTGAGGTCTCTCCAAATGTAGCAGGAATGCACAATAGCCAAAGAATGACTTCCTCCTCAAGAATCCTATAGAATAAAAGGCTAATATGCAAATTCACCGAACGGTGGAACAACCAGTCGCTATGACATGCACTGACCACCAGGGGGCAGACGCTCAACGCAGGAGCTGCCCCCTGGTGGTCAGTGCACTCCCATGGGGGAGCGCCACTCAGCCAGAAGCCGGGCTCACGGGGAGTGGGCCTACGCTGTCAGATGGACATCCCTCGAGGGCTCCTGAACTGCGAGAGGGTGCAGGCCGGGCTGAGGAATTTCATGCACTGGGCCTCTCATATGACAAATAAGAACTTTGCATCACAAGTGAATTCTGTGCAACTACAGCAGTAGAAAGCAAGCGTCCTCAGCAATTTCATGGAGGACCAGAACAGTGTGGCCCAAGAATACATCTGACTAGGTCCCTACAAAGAACATCTCCTATGGCCACGAGTGAGGAGTTCCACCAATTCCTTGTTGAGGAAGACTCGAAAACCGTCAACCAAACCCCACTTTGTATCATTTCTTCCTAATTACACATATGGTAATACTTTTGTTAACCATAAAATAAACAGAAGCTAGTTCTCAAAACAAACCACTAAAACACACACATTACACTGGGAATAAGAGAGAAAATGCCACTTGTGCCTCATCTATGACAAATCCCCAATTGGAGTATTCCCCCTCGGCTCCTGCACAAGTAAGGAGGTACTTCACATACAGCCCTTCTGGCTGTGCCCACGGTGGAGGAGGCCAGGATGTAATGCCTCGCTCTAGCAGCAATGATGGGTCAAAGGGCCCTGGTTGGGGTGAGAAGAGCAGGCATGACTGAGCAGAAACATGGACACAAAATCATGAAACGAGAGAATTAGTGCTACCAATCCCATGATCATTCTTTCTTACAAGTCAGTGAATCCACATGGCCATCTGATGCAAAGACACAGTTCTCCATTAGTCTTCCCATGTGAAATGAAAACTGCATTGCAAATCCAAACTCCCCCTCCAAGAATGTAAGGAAATCAAGAACTAAGAGAGGGTGGTGTCAAGAGATTCAATAAATCCTGACCGGGGGAAAAATGGCATGAAAAGAATACTTTCAATAAAATGTTAAAACCTCAGGAAACAATACTCACCAGACTTTAGCGAAATGAATAATTGCACGCAGCTAAGACCATATGCATATCTCCTGGGAAGTACATCTTAATATTTTATGAACATGGATATACGGATTTAACAGCATTTTCTACTATAAACAGAACAATTAAAACAATAAATAAAACAATCCCAAACATACCTGATAACCCTCTTTCATGTATAAGTAACTCTTTCTCCTTTTCTATTTCATCCGCAGCACGATACATGTCCTCCTCGCTGAAATCACACCAAATGAAACATTTCAAAGTTGTTGCACTGACAGTTTCCCTCTTATCACAAATGCAGGTGCTTAAAAAATTGATAAGACATTTAAAGTTTAATTTTTTTCATATTAATGACAATCTGATAAAATATGGGTCTTTCATCTTAGATATCGTGTTTCTATCATTCCACTTCAGAGTTTCTTACTTCAAATGAGACATTTTACATCACTCCATTTGCCACCTAGCTCTGAGGCCATTTTAATTACAAGTCTATTAATGCCTCATCTACACATGTGAGCATCTTAGCATGTGTCTTATCAATGAAGCACTGTCATAGTCTATCAAGTTTCAAGAATAAATATAGTGCTATTAAAAGTGTTCATATAGGTATGCAGGCCGACGGCCCACCTTAATGTCACAGGCAAACTTTACAATAGTTACTCTAAAAACAATAGACGAGCATCAATTATTACAAGTCACCAGAGCTAAAAAAAAAAAAAAAAAAAAAAAAAAGAAAAGAAAAGAAAAAGAAAAAACCCTCCCAAGGCTCCCCCTGCTCTCTGACCCTCATATTCATGTTCGGCTGAGCATACCCCTACTGTCCCACATACTCTTATGCTGCCACTGCCACTGACTTGGTACTTATATAATAGCTTCCTAAAGAGTCTCTAGTCTCACTTACTGAACTAACAAGAACCTACTAAGTACTAGAAAGGGAGACAAGGGTGCTAGACAAGGATGAAGTATGGGACTTCTGGTTTTAGGATGCCTTCTCTCCCCTTTAACTTACACCACAACATGACAATGATGGGAAACAGAAACACTATCTTTGCTGAAACCACAAGACATGTGAAAGTCCAAAAGTGGACGAAGGAGTAGTACATGACAAAGGACAGGGAGCCTCGCTGCCTGTGGAAGGGCATCTGCCGAAGAGAAGACCAGTAAACCCTGCAGAACCCCAGAAAGGCCAAGTACTTCAGAAGGTACAGGGGACACCGAGAGCTGAGAACAAGGAAACTGGCTGATGTTCACACAAGGAGTGATCAGACCATCAATTCCTTATACTCCTTCCTGATGACAGCACACCCCGATCCTCACACAAGACAGGAGGCTCCAGGCACAATGGCACACAGGAAGGAGGAGTTAATAGGTCAATAAACAGTAAGAAATTAAGTGAACGACTGAAATACTCCCATCTCCAATTCCCTTAGTTCCCCCTGCTCCTTCTCCATGGCCTAGTACCGCTGGAAGAAAGAGGAAGGGATGAGGGGAGAAGAGACAGGTGAAGATGTGCTGAGAGAGGTGGGGAATCTAATCTATCTGCCTCCCCACCTGAAGCTCTTCAATGGCTCCCAAATAAGCAGAAAAGTCTAAAATGTGGACCTAACCTACCAGTCTAGCCAGTATTCCATGATTCCCTACACACACTCACACCAGTCCAAGGTTTCCCAGCCAAGCATTTTCACAATCTGTGATTGGCTCTGCCCATTCCCTCTGCCTGATGGGCACTGGGCCTACCCAGCAGGACATGTACTATGTGGGGACCCTGCTGTAGAGTGGCATGGCTGGAGTGGGAACCCAGAGTTAGAAGGTCCTCACTGCAGCCCTTATCAGCCATATGTATGACTATGGAACTAAAGTAACTACACCTCTCAGCACCTAAATGTAACCAGAACAGTAAGAGTACCACCTCAAAGGACTGTTATGGGAAGACACAATGTAAAATATTCAGCATTCAAAAAAGTTAGCTATTCCAATTAATCCTCATACTATATCCATTGGTGCAAAGTATTAATAAACAATAATCATTTCTCATTCCCTTTTTCTCTCTAAAATAAAGGCGATGGGATATGTGTGTGCCGATTTTTGTAAGGGGTCATATTAGGGAAAAGGTACTTTCCACATACTCTGGCTCCAGTCAGATTTCAAGTAAAAGGTGTGATGTCACCCATGGAGCCTGTGCCAGAGTTTAAAAACAGAAACCAGATTCCCAGAGCCTATACATCAAACACCTAAAATAAAAAGTGACTAAATGTGTTAGTTCTTCTTTCGCTAATTTAATATCTTTCGGGCCACGTTCCGAGCTTTATCAAATGTGAAAAATTCTGATCCTGCCCTAACCGGTTTGGCTCAGTGGATAGAGCGTCGGCCTGCGGACTGAAGGGTCCCAGGTTCAATTCCGGTCAAGGGCATGTACCTTGGTTGCGGGCACATCCCCAGTGGGAAGTGTGCAGGAGGCAGCTGACAGATGTTTCTCTCTCATCGATGTTTCTAGCTCTCTACCCCTCTCCCTTCCTCTCTGTAAAAAAATCAATAAAATATATAATTTAAAAAAAGAAAAATTCTGATCCTATAACACAAGCACTCAAGTTACTCACTTTCAAAATATTGTCAGAAGCATGTCTTTGGGCAAGCACTTCCCTAATCTTGTCCTCAGTTCTCTCATCTTCATAATGAGAAGACTGGCTAAGATCTAAATGACCTACATCATCTCACGGTACTCATAAACGAATTAGTAAAATTCTGCGGCACACCAAAAAATGTACTTTGGCCAATCTGACAAAAAAATAAATAAGTATAATTTTGATTGTTTCACACTGGACAGCTACTCTTGTGTTGGCTGTTGTCAGTTTTTTAATTGATAATCTAAGGGAGAAGAGGTCAGTGCCTTGACAAAATAGGTATCACATGTTTTAAAATTCCTGCAGTATGCAGGTTGAAAATCGCTGATCTACATGGTTCCTCTTCCAGTTCTTACTTTTAACAGACCAGGAATCTATTAGTCATTAAACATTCTACCTCCAGGTATATTCTGTAGCTGTGCTACATGCACCTTTGGCTATACTTTGTCCTCTTCCTTTTCAATCTATAAAGTAACCAAAGTGCAATCGCAACACCAGTGCCCAGATGGAGTTCTCTGAACAAACATTTCTCAATACAGTCAAATACAAATTCCCACAAAGGCCAACAGGACAGGGACGGAAAGAAATCAAAGGGAACACAGAAACAGAAAGTGAGATTATCTATATAATAAAAGTCCAGCGACCGTTACAGCAGAACGACAGAACAACCGGTCACTATGACATGCACTGACCACCAGGGGCCGTGAGCTGCCCCCTGTTGGTCAGTGCACTCCCACAGCTGGAGCACCACTCAGCCAAAAGCCAGGCTCACGGCTGACAAGCACAGAGGCGATGTCAGGAGCCTCTCCCGCCTCTGCAGGAGCGCTAAAGAGCAGCAAGTCGAGCAATAAGGAGCAATGAGTGGGCGGTAAGGAGCGAGGGGTCCCAGACTGCGAGAGGTCGCAGGCTGGGCTGAGGGGACCCCCCCACACACATGAATTTCGTGCACCAGGCCTCTAGTTGGAAAATATTTTTTAAAAGGCAGGGTTTCGGGATATACAAAAGAAACAAAGCAGAAATTGATGAACAGGGCCCAGAGTATATTCAAATTACTTTAGCCACAAGTAGATTTCATTCAGATCTTGTGCACAAATGTTTGCTAACTTGCATGGCCACCAAGGACACTTGCTAGTTTTCTAAGGTCACCAAGAAAATTGTATTACGGCCTTTAAAGGCTACCTTAAAAATTATCCTGAAGCTGTATTTCCTTGTAGAGAAGGTAATTTTTTTAAGTTTAAGCAATAAAGCTCAATCAATATGGTTAAAAAAAAAAAAAAAAGACATTTAATAGCCAAAATGAAATCTTTATTCAACATTAAGGACTACCAACTAGAAAGAGAGAGATGTGTGAGAGCAAGAAAAACTAGTTTTATTTAAGAAAATACTTCACTCAAACTTTTGCTTTAAATTTTTTAAGTATCAAAATATTAAAGCTGAAAATAACAAAATGAAATTTTATTTAAAGCTGTGAATCTAAAATAGCTAGAGGTTTAAATTTTTGTTATGGGAAAGGAAAATAGTGAAACAATAATAGGAAAAGGATATTAAATGATAAATAAAATGTTACCGTTTCAGAAATGTGCCAATCTTTTGTAAGTGCCAAATGGGGGGGGGGGGGGGATGTCTACCATTTGGCACAAAAGAGACCACTGAAGCACACAGACTTAAATGATTACCACAGCCAAGTTTCCTCTGGAAAACATACAGATACCCAGAAAAGTAGTAAAGAAAAGTAAGACAAAGTCATAAATGTGACTTGATTTCCTGGGGACCATGGCATGCAAATCACCCTCAATTATACAGTTGAATTAAATTTTAAAACCAAAGTGTTAGCAACTCCTCCTTAGAAAATGTTTAGTTTAGCTCTGTAATGTTAAAGTGTGTATATTCAAGTTCCCATTTTCGCTTATGCTAGAGGAAACATATACTATCTAATGAAAGTGTAATATGCAAATTAACCATCACTCCATCACAAAGATGGCGGCGCCGAGTCCTCTCAGCCCCGCTGGAGTCCCCCAGTCCTGGGGGGGGGATGGCCGCTGAGAGTGGCCAGCGTGAGCGGCCTGGTGGAATGCTTGCTTCATCGCCACGGTGACAAGGCAAGCATTCCACCCCGGCCGCGGAGGGCCTCTGGGCGGCGGGCACAGAGTGGCCCAGGGGCGGGGGGGGGGTTTTGGAGGAGGGGGGGAGTGCTTGCCTCGTTGCCCTGGCGACGAGGCAAGCGTTCCATGCCCAGCCGCGGAGGGCCTCTGGCCAGGCTGGGTGTGGAACACTTGCATCGTTGCAGACCGGGCTGAGGGATTTCCCTGCCCCATGCACGAATTTCGTGCACTGGGCCTCTAGTTTTATTAATATTAAGGCAACATACACCATTGAGAAAGTTACATGACGTTGCATTCTAAATTATAAACTTCCTCTTGCTGTTCAAAGACCTACATAACAATACATTTTTGAAAACTTAATTTAAAAATGCTTACTACACAGAAACAAAATTACACTATTGCTAAAAACAAGCTGTAAGCTAAAAACACAGAGCTCAGTGAAGCAGAGCACATTTCTGTGAAGCCAATTTTTCAATTTCCAATACAAGTAAAGATCTAAAATGAAAAAAGTCAATGCTGACATATATGCAAAGCTAAGAAGAAAGCATTTTAATCCCTCACCATTATGAACACTTGCACCAACTTCCCCTTGTCTAAAAAAGCTAAGCTGAAGATGATTTTGTTCAGCTCTCTGAACTTGAACACTGAAGTTCACGCTTAACTTGGCCTGTCCTGGGAGACTAGTGGCCCCGGCAGTGTTGGGGAGACAGTGTCAACCACTGTAACACCAATGCATCTTCCCACACAGGAAAAGCAAAGACCATTCAACCGAGCCTTTCTCCACTGCTTACCGGTTATAGAGATGGGTGAACAACACATCAAATGCAGGAAAGTACCAGCACCCAGGCCAAAATTCCACTCCCTTCTGCAACTGGACTTTCCATGACTGGCTCATGATACTCCACGTGACTTCCAGAGGTATATGGGGACAACCCTGAACCCTCAACAGTGAGGCTTCATTCTCAGAGATATCTAAGCTCTAAACTCTGAAGCTGGCTCTACATCCAGGCGAGGGGAGGGGTAGGAGGGCATAGCTGATACCCCATCAAATATAGCCCCTAGAAGCTCTGGAGGTGCGAGCTGGGTGGGAAACACAACAGTAGTATATTTAGCAACACCCAAGAACAATGTTTTAACAATTTGTTTTTATTCACAGATCTTTTGAGAAGCCACAACTTTCATCAGAATCTCAGCCCAGAAACACATAAATACACATAAAGTGTTGCCTTCAATTTCAGAGGAGTTCACAGACATGCTCCCACTACCCACCCACAGCCAGCCTGTGGACCGCAGATTCAAACCCTGTCCCACCATCAGGCAAGTGGGCAGAGAAGAGCCACAGAGCAGTCTTGCTTCTCACTTCCCTAAGCAAAGACATGGACATAGCGTAAGTTTCAAACATAGGAGTGGGGTGAGCAGGAGATGAAGCATAAGAGACCTGCTGATACAAGCAATGAAGAAGCGTCCAAAAAAAAAAAAGCAGCCAACTGAATCTGATCTGACCTATGAGGTATTTAAATGGGGCTCATCTCAGGAGCCATCCTCAGGGCTTAAGGCGAGTAGGGGAGGATGCCAGTCAACCACAGCTCTCAAAAGAGCTAGAAGGAAAGAAAAGAAGGAAGAGAAGGATGGAGGGGAAAAAGATTTAGAAAGTAGCTTATCCATATGGTTTTTATGTCATTCTTTGTACTTCTCTCCCTTATGAAATGCAGTGAACTTAGTCTAAAGCAGCGATTTTCAACTAATGGCACACAAAACTAATTACAGTGGGGCCTTGATTTACAAGTGTTCCGACTAACGAGTTTTTCGAGATACGAGCCGTCTCTCAGTCGATTTTTTGCTTTGAGTTGCGAGCTAAAATTCGGGTTACAAGCCAGCTTCAGATACCCCACCGCTAGTTGGCGCAGTGAACGCCACAACATCAGCCCAGCATCACGTGTCTCACTCGTTCACTTCTTGATTTGACATGAGTAATTTGAGTTATGAGCTCCGTCACGGAACGAATTAAACTCGTAAGTCAAGGCCCTACTGTACTAAAATTCTTCGGTACACAAAAAATATATTTTGCCGATCTGACAAAAAAAAAATAGATATAATTTTTATTCATCACATTGGATGCTATTGTTGTATTGGCTGCTATTATTTTTTCTTTAATCCTCACCTGAGGATATGCTTATTGATTTTAGAGAGAGGAAAAGGGAAAGAGGGAGGGAGAGGGGAGAGAGGGTAGAGAGAGATAAAGAGAAAGAAAGAGAGAAACATCGATGTGAGAGAGAACATTGATTGATTGCCTTCTATACCCGAAACCTAGGTATACAGGATGATGTTTCAACCAATTGAGGCACACCCGCCAGGGTGGCTGTTGTCATTTTTTCATTTGATAATCTAAGGGAAAAGAGGTCAGTGCTCTTGACTCAATAGTCAGATACTGCATGTTTTAAAAATTCTTCCAGCCCACCCGTTGAAAATCGCTGGTCTAAAGGAATCAGTATCTTATAGCACTGCCTAGGTCAGCGGTTCGCAACCTGTGGGTCGCGACCCCTTTGGCGGTCGAACGACCCTTTCACAGGGGTCGCCTAAGACCATCCTGCATATCAGATATTTACATTACGATTCATAACAGTAGCAACATTACAGTTATGAAGTAGCAACGAAAATAATTTTATGGTTGGGTCACCACATGAGGAACTGTATTTAAAGGGCCAGAAGGTTGAGAACCACTGGCCTAGGTAATGATCCATCCCTCCCCATATGTATCACTGCACCCTTCAAAGAGACACATCTGAAAAGATTGATGGCTATAAAGTTGGGCTATGGTTTGTACTCATAATTACTGTCTATTGAATGCATTAAAAGTGACTGCAGGGTATCTCAAAATATCTGCTGTTTTATGCTATTTCATATATTCAAGTGTAAATATTTCATTCAAATTCCTGTGCAGGGCAAACCCAATTCTTTGGGTGAGAAGAACAGACTTGGTTCCAATGACAGAAAAACAGAATTTAAAAGTATTTTAGGTTGTAATTCAGGCATTACACTATTTATTTAAATCTATACTCAACTATTAGGTTGCATATTTCATCATATAAGAACTGATGTGCACACATTACATTGCAAACTATAAAAGAAGCAGTTTATAGGATGCAGCTTCTCTAGCCCTTAAGAAAATATCACAGAGCAAACATAATAGCCTCACCGCCTCTGTAACAGGCAAGAAAGCGCACCAATGTAAGATGTGATGTTCGACAGCTGGAGACATCGTAAGTCATCTTCACCTCCTTTCCCTTGCTCCCTCTTGTTCTCTTATGAGAGTATCATCAATGACAACAAAAGCAGGAAGAAAAAGAAATTAAGCTCTAAATAAACTGCAAAATGAAACATCTAGTCCAGGAAAACAAAAATCTGAAGTTTGCTGTCATAATTCATGTCCCTCTGCCTGCTTTGCTGAGGAAGCCGGAAAGAGCCTGGAGGAGGTTCCCACCCAGGCATCAGGGAACGTGGCCTTGAACCTACTCCCTGTGTCTCCCTGGGCAAGCTGTACCTTTCGATCTGCAACTCAGTTTCCTAATGTGTACAATGACAAACCTAGGCTGAGCTTTTTAGATTCCTTTCAGCTCTAAATCTATAATTCTACTGGCAGAAGACAGAAGAGGCCACAAAACCTTTTCATCAGGAAGGGGTGCTCCTTCCACACCATGGCCCATTTCCCCGGGGTACTCAGACTCTGGAAACCACACGCAGCAGGAAAAGCTGCCAAATAACTCTGTATCCTTTCGGGAAATAATGCTCACTGCATCATTTCTGCATCACCCAAGGGGCACGAAACTGCTCGGCAGAGGCTGAGGAGCAGCATCTGAGCGCCAAGGCCATTAGATGGGGGCAGAAGTGAGGTGGTAGCTGTTAGGCACCGGCATGGGCTGGGGGGTGGGGGGCCCGAGAGGTGGGTGCACAGAGGCAGAAGACGCTATTTTACAGGCTGCGGAGTCTGAGGTAGGTCTCCAACTCAAGGAGCAAAACTGAAGCCACAGGTCACATCAGCTTACACATGGGCCTGTTACTGGTTTCAATTAATATATATCTATATCTGTGTGTGTGTGTGTGTGTGTGTGTGTGTGTGTGTGTGTGTGTTAGAGGCCTGATGCATGAAATTCATGCACGGGGAGTGGGGGGTGGGTCCCTCAGCCCAGCCTGCCCCCTCTCACAGTCCAGGAGCCCTCAGGAGATGTCCAATTGATGGCTTAAGGTTCCCGCCACCTCCACTGCGCTCACCAGCCAAGCTTCTGGCTGAGCATTGCTCCCCCTGTTGGAGTGCACTGACCACCAGGGGGAAGCTCCTGCATTAAGCATCTGCCCCCTGGTGGTCAGTGCACATCACAGCGACAGGTCATTATGCTGTTTGGTTGATTTGCATATTAGCCTTTTATTATATAGGCTACACACACACACACATAATGCTACTATTTTAAAATCAGGACATTTCATACAAAAATCCGAATATCTGTTTGTTTTTTAATATAGAAAAGCCAACTACTATAGGCTGAAACTTAGACTACCCCCAGCAGAGAACACCTACCTGGCCAGCTTTACCAAGGTTACCCACCCCCTCACTCCTGGGGGCCAGAGTTTGAAACCTCCTACTCTAAATACTTGCCAGTGGCCCCTCATTAAGTGTGGATAATTACAGCGCAAAGGGTTTGGGTGCTCAATAAGTGAGAATGTCATCGCCCACGGTAAAGAACCCGCAAAGGAGAGTACTACAATACACTAGCTGCATAACAATCCTGCAAAGGACCCCTCTTTAGGAAATGCAAAACTTTATTTAAAAAAAAAAAAGCATTTAAACACACCTTCCAAATTCAGCTTGCCTGCCAATGGAGTTATCTGTCAAACCGGTTATCTGAATGCTTTCCTCAATTTGGGAATTCAAAGGTATTTCTATGTGCCGAGAGCTTGGAAAGTGGAGAAAAGTCTCAGCCTTCAACTGTGGATTCTGCTCCCACCCCCATCCCCGGGCAGAACCGATCAACGCTTCTGGTTGCTGCCGCTGTGTCACAGCCCCGCCAGGCACGGGTCGACCCCGCACCCCCTTCCGTTAACAAGCAGCCCGACTGGATCGGACTCCGCGCCAAAACCAGCAACAGGTGGAACGCTCACGAGGCGGCGACTCGCCTTCCAGAACACACCTGCCGCGGGGCTCCATTTTCCTACCAGGTCGGAGGGAGAACGCGCTGGTGTAGTGATAATGCAATGCGCTTCCCGGGTTTGTTTCCCAAGTTTCTGGCGCCTTCTTCAACTTCAGAGTTACGCAGACAGACAATGGGGGGGGGGGGGAGGCACCAGGGGACCGTACCTGGGAGAGGGTCCCTCCGGAAAACGCTGGTACTCGGACCCTGGTTCCAAGTGTCTCCGAACGCCTCTGCCCCGACCCCCTGACTTAGAACCGAGGGTCCGCGGGGCCCTCCGCCCGCCCAGCCTCCCAGAGGGGACCGAGCCCGGCACCCCCTCCCACCTCGCCGCGCCCTGCGACTTACTGCTCGGCCGGGCACCGCACCGCGGCCCGCGGCTGCCCGCCGGCCGCCGCCTTCCCGCTCTCCAGCGCGGCGGCTCTGCCGGGGCCCGGAGACACGGCCCCCGCCTCCCGCGCCAGCTTCTCGGCGCAGCTCGCGCCCAACCAGGCTCCCGGCTGGGGCATGGTCCCCCGACTCATGGGGCCGCCGAGGACGGCGGCGGGGCCGCAGGGGGTCAGCGCCTCCGAGCGATCCAGGGCCCCTCCCGTCGGGGCGCCCGGCCGTGGCCGCCGCCGCCGCTCTGCTGCCCGCCGGCTTCCGTGGCTGCCCCCGGCGCTTCCGCGCGCGTCACCGCCGCCCGCCCCCCGGCCTCTGACCCTCGCCGAGGGGGCGCGGCCCGTGAGGGCGGAGCGTCCAGGGGGCGGGGCCTGCGCCTGCGCCTGCGCGGCGGAGCGCGACGTGGAGGCGTCCGAACCGCCGTCGCCACTGCGCATGCTCCGCCCCCACAGCTTGTGGGGCGCCAATTTTTTCTTGGGAGTGTCGGGCAGCCCAGGGGCGAAAGAAGAGGGGGAGGACTGGGAGCCCAGCGGGACGCGCGCTCGGTGAGGAGGAGGAGGGAACCGGCCCGAGGTGTGGAGGGCGCTGACGTGTTTGCTCGGGCACCTCGCAGTGTCACTCCGGACTTCCGAGTGTCGCCCTGCGCCCAGCCGGTTTCCTCCACGGTAAAGACGGGGATGTGGGCAGTCCTGCCGGCGCTCCCCTGAGTGCTGCCGGCACGACCCGCCCCGAGGCCTCAGGACCTGGGCCTTCCGTCGGCGTCGGCTCGCGGTCCCCCGGGCTTGGCGTTCCGGTCCCTCCCCTGCCTGAGGGCGCGAAGGGCGAACCCGGTCCATTGGGCAGTGGGGCGAGCGCGGCCCCGTGTGTTCTTGGATTGTATTCTTTCAAGTAGAAAATTTGAGTTTAGAGGAACAAGAGCAAAAGGAAAATATTAACGGGACTTCAAAGGTCAGCTAGAGAAATGCCTGCAGTTTTAAGATCGCCCATGCTAGCAAAGCAGCAGTTGAATCTGACTTTTTTCCCGTGGTTTTGTCACCCTCTTGCTGTTCAGCATATTTTAACATCTGATGGGTGCCTTTTTTCCTTTAGACTTGAGGATCCTTTTGAATGCACTGGATGATCTATTTTTTTAAAATTCTTAAGTTAACTATGTTATTTGTATATGTTGACTACAATCCAAAAGAGTCGACAACTATTTTTTACCCAGTTCTTTTTTAAAATCAGCTTCATTATTGTTTAAACACCATGAAGTTCACTCATTTTAAATGTGCGATGCAACGAGTTTTAATAAACATGCAGAGATGTACAACCATCACCACCACCTAATTTTAGACTCTTTCCATCACTCCAAAAACATCTCTCATGACTGTTTGTGACCAGTCTTCATTCTCGCCACATAACCTCAGACAACAACCACTACCACTTTCCTTTCCGTCTCTATAGATAAGAGATAGCCTCTAAACATGAGCAGCAGTCATGGCTGCAAGGGGCATTATCAAGCAAACGGTGCAGAACCAGGATGCAGAAGGAGGAAATGGCATGGCAATTGAGAAACCTGCAAGTATTCTGGGGCAAAACAGGTAGGTAGCAGGGGATTTTACTGAGACTAGGGGCCCAATGCACAAATTTGTGCACCTTGAAAGGAATTGTGAGCCGGGAGGCTGTGGTGGGCACAGGGACGGGTCTCAGCCCATCCTCCGTGCCCCCATCTAGCCCCTCCCGCTGTGGCCCCTGGTCCCACCGCCGCTGCTCCCGGAGCAATTGGGGCCGCTGTCAGCGGGTGCAAGCGGCGGCTGCTGGCCCTGATCGCCCCTCAGGAGCAGGGGGAGGTGGAGAAGCCCTCAGGGGCAATCAGGGCCAGCAGCCACTGTTCGCACCCACTCACGGCAAGAGCAATTGGGACAGGTACCAGCAGCAGGTGTGAGTGCCAGGAAGGGCTGCGGCGCACGGGAGCAAAGAATTTTCAGTAACCACCAGAGGCTCGCCCTGATGACAGCAACTAGAGCCCTGCCTTGGTCTGGTGCCCCCGCTCACCTGCTCCACCATCCCACTGCAGCTGACGCCCACCATGTTCTACACATGTCCCCTGGTGGTCAGCGCATATCATAGCGACCGGTTGTTCACTTGTTCCACCGTTTGATCTATTTGCATATTCGGGTTTTATATATATGGATGAAACTGGAAGAAGGATGCTGGAAACCAGATCATGAAAAGCCACCTAAGGCTAACCAGGGAGCCTGTGCTTGATCCTTGTTGAAAGACAGGAAGGATTATTTTGGAAGATCACTTTGTTTGCAGTTAGAGAAAAGATTGGAAACAGGCAAGACTGTGAGACCAGCATAAAGAGACTACTGGTAGTGTGCACCCAAGGGAGAAACTGGTTGGAAAGAATATTTGCATTTTAAGGCAAAGAATTGTGGGGGTTTTTTCCCCTTTTAATTTTATTTTAAATAGTAACAAATACATATGCTCAAAAATCACAGCAAGTAAAAGAATATATGAATTATATATCTTATGGGAAGTAAAAGTATAGGATTATATAGGGTTGAATATTGTCGCCCAAAATTCATGTCCATCTGGAACCTCAATGTCACTTTATTTGGAAATAGGGTCTTGCAGATTTAAGATGACGTGATGCTGGATCACTAGGCCCTAAATCTACTGACTGCTGTCTTTATATGATGAGAGGATGAAGAGATACATAGACAGAGGAAGAAGGACATGTGAAGATGGAAGCAGAGATTGCAGTGAAGTAGCCATAAGCCAAGAACTGGTGGGAGCCAGTAGGAGCTAGGGAAAGGCAAGGAAAGTTTATTCCAAAGAGCCTTTAAGAAGCATAGCCCTGCTGGCAACTTGATTTCACATATCTAGCCTCGAGAACTGGGAGAGAATAAATTTCTGTTGTTTTAAGCCACTCAGTTTGTGGTACTTTGCTGTAGCATCTCTAGGAATACAACAAAGGGATCAAGATCAAAAATTATAAAGTGCTGCCGAAACCGGTTTGGCTCAGTGGATAGAGCATCAGCCTGCGGACTGAAAGGTCCCAGGTTCGATTCCGGTCAAGGGCATGTACCTGGGTTGCAGGCACATCCCCAGTAGGGAGTGTGCAGGAGGCAGCTGATCGATGTTTCTCTCTCATCGATGTTTCTGATTCTCTACCTCTCTCCCTTCCTCTCTGTAAAAAATCAATAAAATATATTTTTAAAAAAAATTATAAAGTGCTATCAGATTGAATTTATTGATATGGGCCCACTAAGATATTCTACTTTTTTAAATTAACTTAAAAAATATTTTTTTTATTGACTTTAGAGAGGAAGGAAGAGGGAGATATAGAAACATCAATGATGAGAGCAAATCATTGATCGGCTGCTTTCTGCCTGCCCCTCACTGGGGATCGAGCCCGTAACCTGGGCATAAGCCCTAACCAGGAATCAAACCGTGACCTCCTGCTTCATAGGTCGATGCTCAACTACTGAGCCAGGCTGGCTGGACTAATATATTCTAGATACAACATTTTTAGAAAAGCTTAACTGTTTGGTTGTCTTTTCCTATCATGAATGATATGAAACTGGGAAGTTAACACAAGATGGCTTTGGGGACCCACTGTGATGTCCTGGTTGCGATCCTGGAACCAAAAAAGACATAAGGTTAAAGGAAATCTGAATAAACCATTGACTTTAGTTAATAATAATGACTCAGTATTGGCTATTAAGTATAAAAATTGTACCATATTAATATAAGACATTAATAATGGGGGAAACTAAGTGCAAGGTATATAGGGACTCTGTACTATCTCCTCCATTTTTTCTGTAAATCTAAAACTATTAAAGAAAAATAATGCCTATTAGGAAAAAAAATCAAACTCAAATGGCCATGTTACAGTGTTAAACCGAGACTTTCCACAGTAATGAATATCTGGTTGAATTGTTCTTATTTTGAACTTCAGTGGAAAATTTTAAATTTAAATGTTAATTATTCCATCTTTAATCTTTTAAAAATGTCCATTGTGTATATGTTTTATAGCATACATAATACATTAACACACAGGTACATGTGTGTGTTTTAATATGTATGTATATTGGGATATGCTAAAATTTTTTAACAACATTATGGAAATAAATTATTAGCAAGTATATTGAACTAAATAAGTCAAAAACTAAATTAGAGTTTCTTAGAAGAAATTGTGAGAAGCCCATTGCTGGGGCTGACCGGCAGACCCTGAAGGATGGATGAATGATTACTCTGATGCACGTTTCTATAAAAGAGAGGACTAAGGGACTACTTGGCTATCGCCATCAAATAGCCCTGTTCACCTGCCTCCTTTGGCTTTTATTGTAACAACAGCTTGAACTAAAATTGACTATCAGATACTATCAGCAGGGTAAGCATCCTTGAGAAAACAAATGCGTCCTTTAAGCAAGGATGTTTTGAAATCTAAACATTAAGATTCTAGTAAAATACCCAGGGGGTCAGACTTGTTTGGAAAAGTCAAGGTAGGGGCTGCCGCCTTCGGCAAGGTCCCCCGAGAGGCCCCCGACCTTTCAAAGAATCCTCCATACAGACGTCGCAACCAAGTCCCATGCTTTTCCACAGCCCATGAACTGTAATTACAACAATTAGCCTATTATGTCAGGATGAATAAGTAGTAACAAAATATCTATAAGCTTAAGTAAATGCCTATATAATAGAATTACTAGAGATAATTCCATTTCATTTCTAGTTTCCCCTTAGAATCAAACATTCCTAAATTAGATAACTAAAAGTTATATGATGATATTATAATTTGTAAGTCCTTAGACTTGGTAACTTACATTTTGAATCATCTCAAGTTACTAGCTACTTCAGTGGCCTTGCCTAGAAGAGATAGAGCATGAAAGACTGAGTTCCTCTTCTTTGAACTCCACCCTTACAATAACTTCATGAAGAACACTGTTGAACCATTAGAGTGTTTGTTTGTTTGTTTGCTTGATTTTTAATTCTGTATAAGGAACTTAGTACAAGTTGGATGCATATCTCCATTTTCAGTACCATAAATATCACATTTTACAACAAAGTCAAAACACTCTAAAATTTTATGGAATTTCCCACTCTCACAGCAATAAAAAATAGATTTCAAGTGTACACCAATTTTAAGATATTGACAGGAAAGGTACTTTTTTAGTTTATTCTAGTTTCACAGGTTCATTCATGTACTGCACTCAAGCTTGGAAGGAAGTATTGCTAGTTTCACATAGAAATTAACTATTCTAGAAATACCCAGATATTTATTTAAAAGACCCTCTTTTCCTCTTGACTGTGGAATGCTCATTATTTTTAAACAGGATGGGTGGGAAGACCTACTCTGTCCTTGCAGTTCTGCGACAAGAAGAAATAATTTTGTAGAGAAAAAAAATAGGAGAAATAGTTAATTTGAAAAAGTATATTGCAGTAATATTAGTTTACCTGGAAACCCCCAAAACTGTCCCCATGAGTTTTTCTTGGGAGAAGTATGGGTCCTAATGAAATTTATTTTATCATGAAAATGAAACTATTTTATACACTAGGAGATGTCAGAGAATGTTATACAAATCCTTGGAATTCTGGAAAATAATAAACTAGTCATTGGCTTCAGCTAAGTGGAATTTCATCCTAAGGAAATCATCCAAGCAGATGATAACCTTAATTTATTTAGAGAGCATCTGAAATGGAATTCCGTACTCTTAAGTACTTTAATATTTGCTCTGAACTGAATTGTATTCCCCCCCCCCCCAAATTCATATGTTAAAGCCCTAACCCCTAATGCAATTATATTCAGTGTGTGGAACGAATGTGTCCTCTCCCCCAATTTATATGTTGAAATCCTACTCCCTAGTGGAATGGTATTAGGAGGTAAGGCCTTTGGGGAGTAATTAGTATTAAACTAGTAGCCCAGTGCACAGATTCATGCACATTGAAAGTAAATTAATTATATTTAGAAATATTTTATATTTAGAAATATTTTAATATTGCTATTCGCCCTTTCTCTATAATAGAAGTTTCAGAGATGAAAGAAAATTAGTAAAATGTATATGACAATAATATATAAATTGATTAATAAATAATAACATGCAATAAAAACAAAGACATGATATAAAAACATATAAAACATCAAAAACATAAAAACAACATTGATAAAAACAATGACTGATAAATTGATCAAACTTATTCTAATATCTCCCTGTATACCACATTAAAAGTAAAAACACTTTCAGAGCGCTTGACTAATTCCCTTGTGATGAAGTATTTCCAACTTTAACTTTAACATCACACACTCTTCAAACTTGAGAGAAAGCAACATATAACTGACCATGTTTGAAAACGGGTTCAGGTAGAAATATTCCTACTCTGTTTAGATTGGTGCCAGCAAGAGCTTTATATGTATCGAGCATGCGTGAGTCAATGTTTATTTTTAAATTGCCAGTGCGAACCATATGTATCAGATGGTCGGAACGACATACGGTTGGTCACTTAGCCTTTTATATATATAGATGAGGTGAAGAGGGTGGAGCCCCATGAATGAGATTAGTGCCCTTATAAGAGTCAGGAGAAAGCTTGCTTCCCCTCTCCACTTTGCACCAGGTGAAGATACAAGAAATCGGGAGTCTGCAAACCAGAAGAGAACCTTACCAGAACTTGACCATATTGGCACCCTAACTAACCTAAGACTTCCAGCCTCCAAAACTGGAAAACAATAAATTTGTGTTGTTTAAGCCACCCAGTCTGTGGTACTTTGTTCTAGTAGCCTGAACTAAGACATCTGTAGATAGGACCTGTGAGGAGATGATAAAGATTAAATGAGGTAGTAAGGGTGGGGCCCTAATCTGATAGGACTGGTGTCCTTATGTGGTTCTCAACCTTCCTAATGCAGCAACCCTTTAATACAGTTCCTCATGTTGTGGTGACCCCCAACCATAAAATTATTTTCATTGCTACTTCATAACTGTAATTTTGCTGCTGTTATGAATCGTAATGTAAATATCTGATATGCAGGATGCATTTTCATTGTTCGCGACCCACAGGTTGAGAACCGCTGAAAGGCACCAGATACTCACTTTCCACCATCCTGAGGGCATAGAAGGCAACCAATTGTAAGCCACGAAGAAAGCTCTCACCAGAAACCCAAGTCAGCTGGACTTCCCAGCCCCGGAAATGTGAGAAATAAACTTATGTTGTTTTAAGCATCCAGTTTATAGAATTTTGTCAGGGATGCCCAGGCGGACTACGATAGTATCAAAAAGTACTTTTGAAAAACTTGCCTTTTAGGACAAGTATCTGGGTTATTTTGGAAAGGAATCCCACTACTCATACTGCACCCTGAAACTTAGAGATAGAGGGACAAATTATAGACATTTCCTAAGAAAATAAAAGTAAAACAGAGATTCTTTGTCAAGTCTGTACCATAATATAGGAAAACTTCACCTCCCTAAGTCATCTGATGTTAGGTTGATAATTTTTATGTAATCCCATGTTATCTCCCATCAGAGTCAGAGGGGAAAGCATCACCTTTCTATTACCGAAAGCTCTCTCCTTGTGATAAGGTTGTCAATCTTCTCTTCAAAAATCATATCAACATATTGCTGACAGAGTAACAAGGGCTTTCTGGGTCTTCTGCTAATCTTTTGTGTCATGATTTTTTCTTTTCACTTGGTCCAGAATTTTACAAGGATAATTGACTAGGTCTTCTTCAGAAGACAAGAATGTATAATTTCATTGTTATTGCATAATTGCCAAAAATCTTAGCAGGCAGAATCCACCTTAAAATTAATGGTCTTCACACTGCGGTGGCTCTGTCTCTCAGGGTACATTAGGGCCACTTTATACAGCTGAGCAGTGAGGCCCTGGGGTAAAAGATGCATTTTACAGCTGTATGAGGGCATGGATAGCAGGCCTGTTCTCCTTTCCGACCACTGCCTTCATCTTCATCATATTCTTATTTCACAAAAGCAAAAGTCTTATCTGGCACCCATTCTAAATGTCATTATACAGTGTGTGCCTCAAAGGTGGTGGTATCCAATACTGAGCACCTGAAATGTAGCTGGTCAGAATTAAGGTTAGCTGTTTGTGTAAAACACTACAGGATTTCAAGGACTTAGTACCAAAAAATAAAAAGAATATTAAATATCTCATTTAAAATTTTTTTATATTGATTGAATATTGAAATGATAACATTTAGAAATATCACATTATATATAATATTAATTTCACCTATTTCTGTTACCTTTTTAAAATATAATACTAGAAAATGTAATATTACCTATGTGGCTTACATTATATTTCTATTGGATGGTGCTGTTCTAGAGCCTCAAAACAAAGGAACAATTTGAATCTTGCTTTCAGAGAAGCCTCCAAAATAAGGGATCAAAAACTGGCACCCCTACCGGAGATCTAAACTGCAACCCCACCACATAGGGACAACTAACTGAGCTACCCAGCCAGGGCTTTTTTTCTTCTCTTATGAGAGGAAATTTTTGTATTTAAATTTTGTGGCCAATGTGTAAATTCAGATATATTCAGAGTTGGGTTATATGAGTGATAATTTCACTCAAAGAAAGCACCATCCCCCTGAGTCAAGATTTGAATGCCTTCGATACTTCTGGTGCCAAACCCAGCATTATTCTCTCTATTCAAAGTGATCCAAGACCTTGCAGAAAGTGTTCATTTTAAGATAACCATGGGTGCCACTAGGTCATAATTTCTGTTTTGTGAAATGAAGTAATTGACTGGATTGGTCTAACCCTCAAGGCAACCAAGCGGCCAGGTTAAGAAATCTACCTGGTAGGGAAAGAAAACCATTAGGTGTTTTAATAGCTATTCTCTTGCAAAATTAAGCAGTTACTTGCAATTTCCTTAAATAAACTACTTTTCAGAATATTTATAGCCAAAGCTTTGTGGGTAAGTCCAGTCATGGACACTAGGTGGCATCATAAGAACCTCTCCTGGACCACTTCCTGACAGCCATCAGCTCTTCTCCGCCATGTGCACCCTGAAGACTTTTAGCACAGTCTGGGATAAAGAAAACTTACAGAAATGCTCTTCCTTTCCTGTGTAGAGTCTATAAGTTTTCTTTCTAAGAGGTTGATCTTCTGTGAGCAGTACACAGAAGAGCAAGGCCCTCACAGCAAACGCAGCAAGGAAACTTGACCCGAGTCCTAATGCTGGCGACAAACAATGGTTTTCTTGGCGAAAATCGATTTCCCTTCCTGGTTGCATCTCACCGGATTCCTGGGAGGACCATACGGAGTCATTCATGTATGAGAACTGCCATGTGCTACCTAAAAACCAAGGTTCTTCCCCCTCTACAGCCCTCCTCTCCCTCAGAGGCTCCAACCTTGCACCAGCTCAGGGCCTCTGCTAACCCAGCCCCTGCCCACTCTTTGCCAACTCCAACACCACTCTCAATATTTATAAAGGATTCTGACACCAGATCTGTTCATTTCAACATTCAAACTACTGAAACTCACAGTCTGTGTCCTCCACTCCAAAGGTGTTCACCTCCTCTTCAACTTAGTCCAATGACTACACCCCAGGCCTTGCCGTCATCTGGAATTAAACCCCCTTGAAACCATCAGCTTTATGTCCCACTCTATGTCAGAAGTCAGCTCTTCTGCCCCTCTCCCTCTTGCTCCTCAAGTCCATTGGGACCCCCAGCTTCTTCACTTCTTCCTTCTCTCCTGCTCATCAGCCCCCACTTCTCTCTACACAGAGCCCCTGTTCTTGCCTGTGCTGTTAACAGTAAGCAGCTACTCTCTCATCAACACACACAACTCCCTCCTGGCCTAGTCCTCCGGGAAGACCAACCCTCAGCACCAACCCCCACCCCCCAGAGACCAGTGCAGCCCTCTGAGGCAATGCTGAGGGGGAGGAGCACAGGCACAGAACTGAATGTGACCCTCTGAGCACCAGGCTTGGGTAGTTAGGTTGCTGCAAACATCTACTCATAGGAGAATTAGGAGGTAATGGGTGAAATGAGACTTTTTAAAATATATTTTTATCTTTCACATCTTCCACATCTATGACCTTTCCCTGTGACCCAGAGGTATCTGACTAAAGGACAAGCAGATGAATGGGTAGACTACAATTTTTAGAGTAAAAATGTAAATAGAAGAAGTATGCAGTTTAGTTCTAAAATAGGTAACTGAGACTCAAAGCTATAGACCTGAGAAAAGTAGGACTTAGAGATTATGCCAAAATATAGTCTGGAAAGATAATAAGAAAGAGCCAGGTGTACCTGCCCCTTATTTACCCTCCACCACCAGCGAGGATCAGGAGGGCCACAGGAGAGGATGCTGAGCAGGGCATGCCCTCAAAGGAAGTGAGGAGGAGTGCAGAGAAGCTGGGCTTGTCCCTTTTCAAGTTCAACACCTACCAAAGCATGAAACCACAAAACCAAGATGGGGCCCTCAACCCCCAGCAGAGGGGGTGTGGAAAGAAAATGCGTAGCATATATTCGTCACTTAATAGATTCCTCAAATAACTCCACAAAACCTTTATTACCCACATTAAAACAACACCACAAACTATAATCAGTCCCATTTTACTGACTAGGAAAGTAGAGTAAGTGACAGAGTCAGGAATCTAACTCAGGTCAGCTGGCTCGAAAGGCCCTTCTCTTAACCATCCTACACACAGTCTTTCAATAAACATCCTACCCTCCCCCCAACCCTTCCTCTGTTAAATGCCAGGTTAAGAAGCATATTTAGAAAAGTTAGGCTGCCGTGTGTTTTGTGCTTACTATTTAAGGTTTAAATTGGGCCTTCGGTCCTGCTCCATCACCTGTTGGTTGTCAGTCCACTCCCTTCCCCAATTCCTGCAAAGGACCTCCGAAACCTTCATCAGTCCCCACCTAACTCATTTTTAGCAACAAACTTGCCTGTGATTCATATAGAGAGAATCAGTGTCACCAAGGATGGACTCTCTCAGCTCCTCTCCTTCTCCCAGGTAACTTATCTTCATGGGCACCCTCTCATCTTCCTTTCCAACAAGTTTCAGAGGAAGAGATGTCTGTCTGTACATCCCCCTGTTTCAGACCATTCCCTCCCTTGCCCTTTCACCGCCTCCAGGATATCCATTGAGTGCCTCTTTCCAATATCTTCAACCCCACCATCACCACCACTCTGCTGGGTTCTTTGAGCATATAGGCAAAGTAAGATCTTACCTTCCCTTTACATCGTTTCCATCCATAGTTGTCCTAGACATCAGAAATTTCCAAGCGCCAGTCCTGGACTCTTCCTAAGAAGTGACAAAATTTCACTACTTCTTTAAAATATGAGAAAAATAAGGATAACATGGGGAGTTTCTCATTAAACGAATTAAATTTAAACAATTTTCTTCTATTACAATACAGCCTTTAAGAAATGTTCAGATATCCTCTATATGCTGCCTTTCAGAAGCATGAAGACTTTGCATGAACAAGAAAAAGACCTTATTGAACTGTTAAGATATTGAGATTTGGAGCTGCTTTGTTATTTACATAACCTAGCCCAGAAGTTCTCAAGCTTTTTGGTCTCTGAAAAACCTCTACACTCTTTACACTCTTAAAAACTATTAAGGACCTGTACTAACTATATTTTCTCACGTTCTGTATTCTCAGTGACTACCCCTTCAAGGGCCAGCTAATTCCTGGAGATAACTGTTTCCCTGTGAGCGCACCTTCGTATGCATACTAACCTCTCTTCTAGAGATCACAGTTGCATCAAAAATAGAATACAGGTCTTATGATTCCCACTACATAGGAATTATTTGTATAAAATATAAAAAGTACTTCAGATGACCCTAACTCTTATGACTTTAAGATACAAGGGTGAAACACATTGAAAGCTATATAAATTAGGTGGGAATTTCAGCTATTGGTAAATGAAACTATTATATCTCTCTCATTTCTGTCCAACAAAATAAGCATTAAAAATAAATATTAATAATGTCATCTACCATTAATAAATTAAGTGTTTGAATGGTTTTCCAGTTATATTGATAGCCATTAGTGATTTTAGCAGGAGAAAGAGCATTCCCATAACTTAATTAAGCACATAGTGGAAAACTGCAAATATAGGGGAGATGTATTTTCAGCCCAAGACTCTGAAAGTTAGAAGATATTTTTTCAATTCACTTCAGGTGTTATAAAAATCTGTATTTGGAACTTTTTTAAAAAAGGGGAATAAAACTGATCTCCGTTAA